TTTTTTTTTTTTTTTCTCAACGCTCACTTATTTAGGACCAGTGGCTTGGAAAAAGGTACACTTCAAAAGACCTGCATTAAAAAAAATGGAAAATGCAAGCACAAAACACATCCTGTACTTTGTTCAAGCACCACTGCACTTTGCAACGTGCATTTTTTACGTTTGGCCGTGTGTCTGACGCGTATTTTGTCAACAGACGGATTCCAAGGTGAACGGCACCGCTTTGTCCTCCCCTTCCACCTCGTCTCAACGCTCCGACTGCTCGCTGCCTCAGCTGCGGATGGCCGCCAGCCAGACCACTGACACGATGGGTGAGGAGACGGACGCTCCCGCTTGCGGCTTTTCCTTTGCAGGACGCGCCGGGATATTCAATTGTTTGTCGCTGAAATACTTTGTAACTTGGAACCTAAAAAGCACAACCCATACCACTGGACTGTCGGTTCAAACTAAAATCGGGCTGTACTTGATTTGTGGCCAAAAATGTCATTTTTGGGGATGGCAAAGGATGGAGCGTATTTTCTGCACTATAAGACGCTACAGAATCTAACTCGACCATTTTTTCCCCTTCAGATTGTTCCCCATTGTCATGAATCTGATTTGAATCTTTTTTGTAATTCGGATTCATTTTTTGCGTGCTTGTTAAAAGATACGCCGGCAGAAGGCCTTGTTGAAAAAAATCATTTGCATATTAAATCGCAATCCGAATTTTAAGCGGGAAAATGTTTCCAATTGATTATTTTTTCAAATCGTCAAGCCCCTGTCGTTTCACGATGCGCTATTATGCTTTTATGGCCGTTGGTAAAAACGACAAATCAAATTCTGACTTTGTATGTACAAAAAAAAAAAAAAAAAGGCGAATCCTACATGTGGACTCAAGTTTGCATGAGCTGAAAATGTCCTTCATGTACCCCCGTCGCTGTTTCAGGCGATGACGAGTTTTCCACTCCTTCCCAAGACACAAGTGGACTGGAGGAAGTGATGGAACAGCTCAACAACTCGTTTCCTCACAGCCAAGGTAAAGAAGTCTGCTTTTTGCTCACTTGCAACACTCGCTCCATTCTTGTCGAGCTTTCTCTTCAACTTTGTCTCTCTTCGTCCTTTCTGTGCCTGATTCTGATTTTCCTCCTTCCTTCTCTTCCTTTCGTACTTTTCTTTGTGGGCCAGGAGGGAGAAGGGGAGCCCAATGAGAGGTTAGTCTTTCGACTCTCTTCACTGGCCTCTTTTGGCTGGATCCGTACAACAAGATTCAAATTAAAACTTTTATTTTGGGGTCGGGAGGGCGGGGGGGGGGCACAATTTTTATCCAGTTTGTTGAGCAGAAGAATAAAGGGACAAGAAAAAAACGATACTCACAATTGTCAGATTATTGTGATCTCAAAATATTTAAAATAAAATTATTTATATATTGTATTATTTTCCGTCACTCTAAATATCCGACAGCACGGCAAAGCCCCGTACGTTTACCCAGACTTTCGACCTCAGGTAGGCCAAAGATGAAGACATTTCCAAAATAAACACTTGTGCGTCGTTTCATATGTCAAAATGTGCTTGCGGTTCCCAGTGTTGTCTTTTCCGTGGAAACGGGGTCAAAATGGCTCCTTAAGTGGAAAAGGTTGCCGGACCCTCGCATAGACCGTAACCAAAAAAAGTTCTGGAAAAATCCAGTTGAAGCTACAGCATTTTGGGTTAGCGTCGGTCCAGTCCATTCTAAGCAGTATGTCAGGTATCATATTTGTTTTTTTCTGTTCGAGTGTCAAGTTCAGACTGTTTTAACAAGTATGACAAGCCCCTCTTTAATAGCGTGGCCTTAAGGGGAATGCCTTTTTTTTTTTTTTTTTTTTTTTTTTGGCTTGACACCTCACATTGATTTATAAGCATGACATACCGCTTTAGACAAGTACATGCTTTTCACGGACCGGCAACCATTTGCCGAATTTGAATCATAAAGTTCTTTTTTTTTTTTCTTCATTGCTTACAAATTGCCAATTTCAAAGCATTGGTACTGACAACAAAGAATTAGAGTAATTCAACATTTTTTTGCACAATTATTTTTTTTCATGAGTAAACTACTAGAAAAAAACTCCTCCACGTCTTTCTGCGTTCCGAATAAGCAAAGTTACGGTGATTTTTATTTTATTTTTTTCCCCCCACTATGATCATTGTTCACTTAGTTTCCCCAACTCTTTCCCGCTCGGCAGGTCCGAGCATCGGAAGTCTGTTCCACATGGCCGACGATCTGGGCCGCGCTATGGAGTCCCTGGTCAACGTCATGACGGAGGAGCCGAGCGCCATCAAGGCGCCGCCCTTCTGACACTGCGCACACCACCTCTTCCTATTTCTTAGTCAGTACAGCTGAATTGGAGACAGACTTTACAAACACAATATAAATCGTCTATTTTTGTGAAGGATTGCAGTTCCAGCAATGATGAGTTAAAATCAAATAAAATAACTTGTACATTTAGTAGTTTCTTAAATGTCCCGAAGTTGTTTTATTGAAGGGGGGAGGGGGGGCTGGTTTTTAAACTTCTATGCAATTGTATTAAAAAAAAAAAAAAAAAAAAAAAACACACACACAACATGATTTTGGGGCGGGGCGGGCAACAAAGTAAAATACAAATAAGTGTTTAGTGTGGTAATATGTTTGCATCTTTGTAACTGGAAAATAAGCATTTCAGACATTTTTATTAAAAAAAAAAGAGGAAGATTGATTGTAATAATGAGGGTGTTTACTAAGAGGAAAATGTCTTCATATAACAACGTACAATACTGTTAAGGTAATGCAGGCATCCTGGAACTTTACAGTACGTTGTGTGTGTGTGTGTGTGTGTGTGTGTGTGTGTGTGTGTGTGTGTGTGTGTGTGTGTGTGTGTGTGTGTGTGTGTGTGTGTGTGTGTGTGTGTGTGTGTTGGTCCCGATGCAGTACCGTATTCACACTTTTGTTCTCCGTCATCCATCTTCAATAAGCTTCTCAACATTTAATGTCCATATCCAAGAAATGATTTTGTCATCCTTGGATGAACAAAAAAAGTGAAAATTGCATGTCATAGGGTAGAATCAGACACTGGATTGGATTGGATTATTTTCAAAACGCGGCTGTCTGTGTTCGTGGCGGCTTTGTTCATTTGTGGCTTTAACATGGCCAATTGGCCGCCCAAACATACTTGACGTTGCAATTTAGCCTTGCTGAAAGTTTTTGGGCAAGTTGAACTCCGTTTTCATTTGTGTCGTGGCGTTTTGCTTGAGATTGTAAAAGAAATCAGACACTGGCACTGGCGTGTGTGACGTTCAAGTTTAGTCACAGCTTGTTGGTTTCAAAACTGCACACTGGCTTTTCGATTTCGAGTTCAATCTCTTCCTGTCTTAAGTACTATAAGATTGTTTTTGTTTTTTTTTCCGTTGAGGCTGCTAACTTTAACATGAGTCAAATTGATCACAAATTATTTAAGTTTCCGATATCACGGTCCTCGTAATTCAAATGCAGAGTTTGTTGCTCTACTGTAGCCAAGTCCTTTAATGGCGCTTGAAATGAGAATGTTTTGAATGCATTCACTGCGTTTGTCTTCTCTGTCGAGGCACTTCATTACTCACCAGCTACTACTACTACTGTCATACCTTGTACATGGAGTACCTTGATATTATCTGTGTACAGGTATTCATTTTAATAGTGTTTATGTCTTTGTTTTCAGTGTATTTTGTTTTGATGTTGTGCGGTTATTACTAAGCATGCATGAGTGGCGAAATGAAATCCATCTGTAATCGATGAAAGAGTGATACACACACACACTCACATTCTGCCGCATGACCCAGCATCATTTTTGTTTTGATCAAGACACTGAATTGGTTGATCATTTCTAACTTTTGTGTGTGTCATTCTTGCAACGCAATACTTCACAGCATATCAGACTCCACCAAATCTATGCCTTATTACTACTGTATTATGAAACAAAATGCTTTACTGTACATCAATAAAGCACGCAGTTACGTTGATTTGACTTGTTCTTGTCTGGGTTACGCTTTTGTTTCGATTTGAAATACACTTCAGCGTGTCTTAAAATGTAATTTATCGTTATTGGTTCATTTCAATATTGGTCTTGAAAATGTCCACAGCCCCGTCCCTAACAACCGGTCCGCGGACCGTAACCGGGCCTAGGCCGTTCGGGACCGGGCCACACAGAGACAGACCTGCAAGCTGTGAACAAATTTACTCAAATCAGACGTGACGTGGGAAATGTGCGCGACTCTAGGCAATCGGAGTTCTCCCTCCAACCTTGGTTTGCTCGTCTAAATAAACAGAATCCGCCAATAAACGAAAGAAAAAGCGGTAAACGGAACGCAATAGTGACAAATTGACCAAACGTACAAGGAAACACGCAGCTGGAGGGTCTTCGCGACTTCCGAAGATGAAACTATTTTGACAAGAGAAGTCCCTCCCGAGCGGTCTCGCTAGAGCGACGGGGAGGAGGAAGCTGTTGTGCGTGGTATGGCTAAAAAGACAAGGCAATATAAGAAACCCGTTGAATCATTTCAACAAGTAGCACCCAAGTGATCAAGGGGGAAAGTATGGAAATGCGAGCAGAGTTTGCCTGCCCACGTAAACATTAGCAGTTTAGTCGCACGTTATTAGCGAGTTTGATCACGACGTTGCCGTCGTTGGTGATGTTTCTATCTTTCACCACCAGAGGTCGCTGTTATATTGAGTCGCATTTAACTGCATAAACCCGGAAAGCTTACAGTCACATGACTTTGTGCTCCCGGAAGCAAAATGAAAGTAACGTATAAGCAAGCGCGCTTCCCTACGGAAACGTAAACGTGAAAGCGTTGATGGGGTTATAATGTGATTTGATAGTTGTTTGAGTTGGCTGTGAAATAGCAGCCAAAGCAAAGCAAGATGTCAGGGTTCAGCGCTGAACTTATCGACTACCTAGAAGGGAGGATTACATTTGAGGAGTTTGACAGGAGGAGAGACGAGAGGAAAGCCAAGGTATGTCTGCTCCCATCTGGCTTCGAGAATCCCAAATGCAAATTTGAGCAAAACTTACATACTATTTTGTCAAATGAGACCCGTATGGACGTTTGCCAGCATTATGAATCAACTAGATGCCGTCTATGCAACCGGAACTTTGCTTTCTATTCCTAAAGTAACACAAAATCCACAAAATGAGAATATATTAAAGAATTACGTTTTGGTTCAGGTTCTACAAATTGCGTCATTTGACCCTCCTTTTTAGATGTGATTAAATCAAGGAAAAGTGGCTCGCGAGTAACTTACAAATTCTTGTTTGTCTTTCAGGAGGCAGAAGCGTCAGTTGAAAATGAGGAGGTGGCGCAGCCTTCCACCTCGACAGACATCCATGTGAAAACTGGTAAATTGTAGCGCCGCAACGTTTTGCGTGTCTGACCAGAAGTTTGCCATAAATGTCATACATGTATTTCGTCAGTGGCATCAGCAAATAGGGCGAAAAGGTGTTGACGGTTTTTCAGAAGTCGCATTAATTTCAGAAGTCGCATTAATAGTCATTGAATTAAAAGTGCATCTTGTTAGAGTGGCCTGTATGTTGTTGTTTTTTTTTAAATATAGAATTATAATTACATTTCAGTCGAGTTCAACAGAGAGAATCTTGTTTATTTTTTAAAAACATTTATTTAGGTACAACTTTTACTTAAACTTAAAAAATTTTAAGTACAGCTTATGAATTTATTACACTTAATTGTTATTTCAGTCATACGACGCCACGACATTTTAAAGGTTGCAATGGTGGTGTGGTACTCGGCTCGTTTTTTTAAAGGTGTTATTTGGTATAAAAAGTTTGAGAATGACTGAAGAAGAACATGCAGTAATTTGAAAATCATGTGACCCAAGGTGACAATTTTCCAGTTCTCTGGCGACAACCCTCAAAGCAAGTATTGGGTCCTTGATGACGTTCTGATCTCTGTGATTGATTATTCAACATACTATCATCTCTCAAAATTGGACCCAGGGATGCTGGTTGTGATTTTGCGCCACAAAGAAGGAAAAAAAACCCAAAAACATCGCTGCGGGCCCCACCACTTCAGTTGTCGTCAAATTTGACTTTTTAAAAGTTGTTGATTCACCCCATTCCCTCCTTCACCTCCCCTCTTAGAAGAAGGAATCAGCCCTGATGTTCTGCAAGCCTTTGCCTCAATGCTTGGAGAATCCACCGACCAAGTATTGTCGGATGAGGATAATGACAGCTTGGGCTATGTTGACGACAAGAATGACGAAGATTTCGCAGTGGAGGAGGAAGAGGACGAAGAAGAAGAAGAGGAGGAGGAGGACGATGACGACGATGACAAGCAAAAGGAAAAGTTGAAATTGAAAGTGAAGGGTAAGAAACCGAGCGTGAGGAAAAAGTTTGAAAGTGAAGACCAGGAACGTGAGGACATGACAGTTGGAGACGTGCTTGCGCTGGAGATGGAGCTAAACCGCGAAAACAAGAAAATGATGAAGGTGGGTTGGGTTACAAAATTCCAACAATTTGGGAGCTTTTCCCGGGAATGAATCACTCTGACCCTCGATCTCATTTTCCTCTTGCCATGGTTCCAGGAACGACGCAGCCGCAGTAAACTTCCCCGGGCGCTCAGAGGCCTGATGGGTGAGGCGAACATTCGCTACGCCAGAGGAGAGAAAGCCGATGCCATCGCCATGTGTATGGAGATCATACGACAAGGTGGGCACCTGTTTTTTATTTTTTTATTATTTTTTTTGCATTGTCTATCATGATCCAATCCTCGTCTTCTCCCGGCACATTCCAGCGCCGCTGGCTTACGATCCTTTCTCCACGCTGGCCATGATCTACGAGGACGAAGGCGACATGGACAAAGCGCTGCAGTTCAGCTTGATCGCCGCCCACTTGAACCCGTCCGACTGCGAGGAGTGGATCAGGCTCGCCGAGGTCTCGCTGGAACAGGACAACGTGCGGCAAGCTCTAGTCTGCTACAACAAAGGTCTGCCTGCCTATGTCTTTCTTTTTTTATTTATTTTTTTTCTCATGGCCTTTTTTATTCAGGCGTGCCTTGTATTTATTACACTGCCGAAACTTAAATGTAAACATCACTGAAAAGGACAACCAGAAATTAAAATACAAACCCAATTTCATTGATGTTGCGGCGCTGTCCATCCATCCATCCATTTTCGATCCGCTTTATCCTCACGAGGGTCGAGGGGCTTGCTGCAGCCTATCCCGGCCGTCTTCGGGCAGTAGGCGGGGGACACCCTCAACTGGTTGCCAGCCAATCACAAGGCACAAACAGACGAACAACCATCCGCGCTCACACTCACACCTGCCACGCATGTTTTTGGAATGTGGGAGGAAACCGGAGTACCCGGAGAAAACCCACACAGGCATGGGGAGAACATGCAAATTCCCCACAGGGAGGCCAGAGCCGGAATCAAACCCACAACCTCTGCACTCTAAGGTCGACGGTTGCGGCGTTGTGTTCAACTTAATTCAAAACAGAATGCAAATCATGTTCAACCTCGATTTCATTGAATACACGACAAAGACAAGAAATTTCATGTTCAGACTGATCAACTTTTTTTGCTTTTGAGGAAATAATCCTCAACTTTTTTTTTGTAAGGTAAAATAAGTGTCTTGGCTCGGTAAAGGTTGTGCAATAATGCTAGGATAAAGTGCGTTGTTTTGGTGGGAACAGCTGTAAAATGACCACTTCATCCCGCAGCCGTCAAGTACGCTCCCACAAACGTGCGCTACCTGTGGGACCGCTGCAGCCTCCTCATGCGTCTGGGGGAGCACAGGCAGTGCATGGATGGCTACCGCAGAATTCTCTCCCTGCTGCCGATGGAGGAGGGCGAGCACTTCATGCAGCTCTCCAAGGACATGGCCAAGTAGGCAACGCGCCCCGACAACGAGTGCACTTTACAACCATTTGATCGTCCGGCCGATATTTTGCATTGAATGCACATTTTGCCAGCACCCGTAATGCCTTTGATTCACGTCACGAATGGTCTTTGATGCATGCGAGTACCGATTTCCTTTGTGATCGGCCCCAAAAATTGTGTAAAACCTAGCACGCCCCATTTGGAAAATTGCGCGTGGTTGTGAATGCACGTCTTGTACGGCTTACCCGTGTCTTAAGATAAGATAAGATAAGAAAACCTTTATTTGTCTCACAATGGAGAAATTCTCAATCTACAGCAGCAAAATTTTGAGGGAAGAAAGTAGGAAAAAAAAAGTATTTGCATGCACAAATATATTTTTTTAATGAACCGTACACAGTACAGAATGCAATATAAAATATAAGATATAATCATATATGCAACTGCATATATCTTATATCTATATATCTCTTCACTGCTTAGGAGTTATTATGAAAGTGGCGACCTGCCTTCGGCGCTCGGTGTAATTGAGGCGGCTCTGGCACGACACCCCAACCTGGTCAGCGATGACATCGTCAACATGGCCGCTGAGCTCTACATCACCGACCATCAATACGACAAGGCTTTGCAGGTTCTCAGGCGCACCTTAGACCGGCCGCAGATAACGTTGGTTGTCAATGTCTCAGTACCCGTGTGTCCTCCTTCAGGTCTTGGTCCGTTTTGTGGGTGTGGTTCTAATCCGGGATGAAAGTCACTCGGAGACCCCCAGTAAAGATGAGAATACGCCAGAGAAGACATTGAAGAATGAGGAGGCGCAGCCTGCGATCACAGCAGAAACGGAATCGGCGGACACGTGTAAGTCGCACGCGCGCTAAAACTGAGAGTTTCTGCTCCGTGACGAAAAGAAAATGTCACGGACAGCAACGCAAGCTTCATGCGACGCAAATAAGATGAAGCGGTCGACAAGATTCCAATCTGAAGATCCATCTGAGGATGCGTTGTTGTTCTGCAGCCGAAATCAAGGATGTGCAGTTTCCGGACGGCATTCCGGTGGACCTGAAGGCCAAGCTGATTGTCTGCCTCATCCATAAGGGCATCTGCGCGCCACTGGAGGTAGCGGACGACTTTACAAGCCTTCCATATTTCAGACCGGGGGGGGCCGACGGCGTGAGAACTTTTCCCTCTGGCTTTCACCACCCAGGCGCTGGTGTCCTCACTGATGGAGCAAAGCGCAGAGGAGATCGGAGACTTATACCTGGACGTGGGGGAGGCCTACCTGGACAAGGGAGCCTACCTGGCCGCTCTACCTTTGCTGTCTGCGCTTGTCATTTCGGAGAAATACAACCTGGCCGTCGTCTGGCTTCGACACGCAGGTAGGCTTGCGTACACTTTTAGAGAGGTCTTGAGGGGGGCATCTGCCAATGATAGCACACAGACAAAAAAAAAAAAAAAAAAAACGTTCACGCTCATCTACACCTGTTTTTGATTTCGAGTCTTCGGTAAGGAAGGCGGCTTTGAATACTGGAATGCGAAGGGACTTTTCGAACGCGCACTGCGATGCCGTTCCGTGATTTGAGACCAGCGTGAGAAAAATGATCACCTCTTAGCTTCATCTTAGACTTCAGTCCCATTAGAAGTGGCCGCACATGTCACCTGAGGCACCAGACAGGAGTTGGAGGGACAGAGCGGCTCAGGAGACGCAAGGCAGGGAGAGACCAATCTGGGATTGGAAAATGATTTCCGTATTTCCGCACTAAAAAGCGTACCTAAAAGCCTTCCATTTTCTTAAAAGCTCAAAGCGTGCCTTAAAATCCGATGCGCCTTATGTATGGTCATTACGGTAATATTTCAACCCCAAAATGGCTCCTTGCTCGAGACATGCTGACAACGCAGAGTTCAGATTTAAGGCGATCAGTTTCGCAGTTGGACACGGAAATAGAGCAGCGGCAAGGGAGTTCAATGTTAACGAGTCAATGTTCTAACTTGCTGTCGGTTAAGTGAACTGTGTCGCTGCTTTATTCAATAAGTTTTACTGACATCTGATCGTTCTGTCGGCGTTTCTTGACTGTAGCTCCATCTAGTGGATGCACTGTAGATTGCATCTCATAATGCGGTGCGTCCAATATATGAAAAAAAATTACAAAATAGACCATTCATTGAAGGTGCGCCTCATAATCCAGTGCGCCTTTTAGTGTGGAAAATACGGTAGCAGAGTCCACCGTGTTTTCCGGTGAAGGGGCATTTTAAACCAAATTGCACCCGTAATGTCGGGCCGGGCAATTAATTGAAATTGAAACTCAGTTTAATTTGGGATTCTCACAATCATAGAAACATTGTCATTGAACAGCGGTGGGTGTGTGCGTGTGACATATTTCATTTGAGAAACATTGCTAGTGCTAATGCTAGCAGTCCATTTAAAATCCCATTGACACGCTAATAGGAAACTTGCTTTCGGTTCCGAGAGTGATATTTCTTCATATAACGAATAGTCACACACAAACGCATGAGTAGAGGAGCCCAAATTGTGGCGAGAGAATGCGTTCATTCATGATAAGCAACCAGCAACCTGACACTCCATTGCAGAGTGCCTGAAGGCATTGGGCGAAATGAACGCGGCGGCCGAAAGCTTCACAAAGGTGGTGGAGTTGGCGCCGCAACATCTCGAGGCGCGGCTGACGCTGGCCACCCTGCAGCAGCAGCTCGGTCGGCCGGAGTGTGCCCTCAAAGCGCTGGAGTCCATGTACGACAACGACACGCTTGCACAAGACTCGTCTGCGGCACAAAAGGCACGTGATGTATTTTATTATTTTTTTTTTTTTTTGTGTGTGACTCTTTCGCGAAGAAGCAGACACTCACATCATCGGCGCGCGTCAAATGTGTGCAGGAACTCAAGCTGCTCCTGCATCGGTCCACGCTACTGAAAACGCAGGGACTCATCCAGCACTACTTGGATGCCGTCATCACGATGATGTCCATGCTGCTCAAGGTTGCACCGGGATTTCTTTCTCCCCCCCCCCCCGTCCACCGCAGCGTGTAAAAATGGGTGCAACGTGTGTGTGTGTGCGTTTGCGCATCCAAGGTGGCCATGCAGCGCGCCAACGTGTGCGTGCGCTCTGTCGTCACGTCGGGAGAGACTCATCTGCGCTTGGTGAAGGTCGGGAATGTGTTGTCGGACATCGATGACCAGGAAGCGGCCTATTTGGAAATCACATGTACGTCAACTCTTGACCTTGTCGTTCTTGTTTATCGTAACGGGAAGCGCCAGCGTACTTCCGGGTTATTCCCTCTTTCCCTCAATTTTGGTATGACATTCGGTCACACCGAAGCAATGTTGTTCAGTGTACAAAGTATAAGGTACTCAATTCTTGGTGATACTTTGATACCTGCAAAAGGTAAAACCAAAATCCTGTCCAAAGAGGACTGGTGGCAACTGCTGCTGAGCTGCGTCCTGACACTCTGCGACGTGCAACGCTACGAAGAGGCGGAGCTAATGGTCGAGTCCGCCATGGAGTTCTACTCCTTCTACGACATCAAACCCAGAAGGAAGGAGCTGGAGTTCCTCGGCCTGTCGGCCAGCATCCTGGACCGCGACCACCACAAGGCCTACAACTACATCAGGTTTGAGAAGTGAATGATATCGTCTCCGCGTCACTTTGCTCATCATGGTTTCCTCCTTTCCAACAGATTGATGCTGATGGATAATGTGGATCAGCCTCAGCTTTGGAATATATTTAACCAGGTAAAGAAAGAGACACAGCGCTTTATTTCAATCTCCTTTCAGCATTTAATGCAGCGATTCCCAACCACTGTGCCGCAGCACCTTAGCCTGACATGATGCAAGTTTGGGATTTATGGGATGCCAATCAATTGTCTCACTTTCATGGGGAACACACCTGCCGCCTTCCCAAAAAAGAAATCTTCAAAGACATTGTTTCTGCGAAATACGGCTGGACGATGAATCAAAAGTTATGATTTCGATTTACGGTCTCGATCCTTAGAACCTTACGATTGAAGAAGTACAATTAATGTGCCGAACTGCGTGGTGTGTGTGCAAGTTCCCGATGTTGTCGAAGGATCCTAAACGCACCATGTTGCTTACGCAGCGTGTGTGACTCTGCCGTCCCTAAGCGTCTTTTAAGCTGGTTCACGACGCCGCAGTTGGAGTTTACGATAAAACTCAACACGAAAGAAAAAAAGATTTACACTCATTATCTATTTAAATGTTTCGTTAAAAAAAATAAAAATAAAAATCATACCGTGCTAATGCTACAGTCAGTGTAAAATACCTTTCAAATGCTAGCAGGAAATTAGCATTGGCTTCTGGAGTGATATTCCTTGTGACTTGTGAAAGTAAAGATTTGATAGCGAGATATGGGATCCCCTTTTAATCATAATAATTCGTGATTTATTTATTCGTAATAATCTAATACGGCAACAAAAACCATCCCGCTATTTCAGGAGGACTGAACTGGAGTCATTAGATGGCCCCAGAAACAGCTGTTTTCAAAGATCAGATTTTATCATCTACCACTGTCAAGTCCTAATGAGTATTTGAACAAATACTGTAAGACCAAAAAGTGATTATTTTTCATAATTTCCCCATTCCTGTAATGGACAACAATGTATTTACATATTGTAGACTGCAAAACAATTCAAGGTAAAAATGAACCTGTGTATCCATCTGTTGTCATTCATACAACAAAATCATGTCTTTGCGTTCAATGAAACGGTTCAGGATGTCACGCCAAATACTTTGGGGGACATTTTTGTTGGGTGGTGTGCCGTGGCAGCTTTTCTCATGTACAATGTGCGCCTTGGCACAATTAAGGTTGGGAAACGCTGAATAATGCGGCCATGTGCAGCAGGCCACTCACATCTGCGCTCCCTTCAGCTGACGATATCCTCCCACCACCAACGTCATCATCGCTTCTGCCTGCGTCTGCTTTTGAAACATCCCGAAAACCATGCCCTCTGCATCCTCTGCGGACACAACGCCATGGTGTCGGGCAGCTTTAAACACGCCCTGGGTACCACACACACACACACACACACACACACACACACACACAGCATCCGTAATTAACTCTCATCCGGTTGCAAATGGAGCGATGTGCAGGTGACGTCGTGTTGTTTGTCTCCAGCCCAGTACGTCCAGGCCTTCCAGTCTCGGCCTGACGACCCGCTCCTCAACCTGTTTGTGGGCCTCACCTTTTTCCACATGGCAGCCCAGAAATTTGTGGCAAAGAGGCACCCACTGGTTGTTCAGGTATGTTGTGTTTGACTGTGCCTGTGGCTTTGAGGACTTATCTTCTCATGTTTTTTTTTTTTTTTAAATTCTTTTGTTAGGGTTTCTCCTTCCTGTGGCGGTACGTGGAACTGCGTGGGGAGTGTCAGGAGAGCATGTATAACATGGGCAGGGCATTGCACCAGATGGGCCTTACACATTTAGCCATCCATTATTACCAGAAGACTCTTCGACTGCCTGTCCAGAAACTCGAGGTACTTTCCCATTTCATGGGAACAAAATAACCACAACAAAAACTTAAAAAAAAACAAAACAAAACATTTACTCACGAATTTAAAAAAAAAATTGAGACTGCTTGTAATTCAATGGTAAGTCATTGCAAGTACAGTTTATGTTGATAAAACTAACTCTTTGTCTTTTTTTTTTCAATGAATCTCATACCTTGTGCATGACCTTATGGCTTTTTTTTAAAATTATTAATTTATTTGTATTTTTTTTTTCATACTACAATACATCCACACAGAAGGAACGTCAAGCAGTCTTAAGGACCTTTTTGTTTACTTGATGACTAAGACTCATAAAAATGAAAATACAACAGTGTTTTCAAAAACTTTCCTCCATCCACACCAACAGGGTATCGCCGATGACCAAGTGGATCTGAGGAGAGAGGCCGCCTTCAATCTCTCCCTCATCTACCAGGCCAGCGGCAACGTTGAGATGGCCCACCAACTCATCACCACCCACTGCGTCATCTGACCGCGGGCCAGCCAGGCCCGCAACTAAAAGCGTTCGTATCGGCAGTTTTGAATTACACCTGCAACATGAACTGTGATCAGGTCGGAGGTTGTGTTATTTACATTTAAACATTTGAAGTATAAAAGTTTAATTTATTTCATCAAAGACTGAGTTTGGCAATCATTCGACCATTTTCCATTGTGTTTAGCTTCATGTTAGATTTTCTTTTATCGTGACAAAAAGATGGAAGGACAGACTTTTTATTTTTGTTACGAGGATTAAGGCGCTGGGGATTACTTGCCAAATCCCCGCATCTCGGTGATCCCATTCCCAACCTTCTGCTTGCTTCATCTTTCCTACACGGGTCACTGTACTGCATGTGAACCCTGGGTGACCAGAGTTCTTTTAATTTTTATTTATTTATTTTATTTTAATCTGTCTCTTCACAAACACACACACATAGAATTTACACTGAATTGACAAAGATCACCTTCAGTAAATTTGATTTAATCAAGACTCTTGATTAAATCAAATTTACTAAAGCTGATCTTTGTCATTTAACTCTGGAATTACTCTTGATTCAAGAGTAATTCCAGAGTTAAATCATTCCAGATTTGGGGTTCATTTTCTGTCGCACCATAAAACTGCAACTAATCCATACCTAAAATAGAGAAGCTTGCAAGTATAACAGATCAGTAAGTTTCAAATTTGCTTTATTTTGGGTATGATTTTGAAAGAAGGGGTTGGGGGGGGTGTCTACCAATGGGACAACTATTAATCACACACTGCACAAATCTGGCCTTGATGGAAGAGTGGTAAAAAGAAAGCCATTTTTCAAACGCACGTTTAAAAAGTCCCGTTTGAAGTCTTGTCAAGCCACCAACAGACACAACAAACGTGGAAGAAGGTGCTCTTGTTAGATGAGACCAAAATTCAAGTTTTTGGGCTATTTGAAAAAACAAAAAACAAAACGGAACCCTCTATAGGATAAGCGGTGATGAAGATGGATGGATGCAAGATAAGCGGTGATGAAGATGGATGGATGGATGGATGGATGGATGGATGGATGGATAGTTCCTGCCTGACCCAGCATCAAATCTTTTATGTTGAAATCTATCCAACCACTTCCTGTCTGGCAGTGCATGTCTGCAACTAGACTCTATTGGGAAAACTCCAGCTCAGATTTGTACAGACATTATTTGTACAACAATTAATTTAGAGCTGGTCGAATCACGTTCTTACCTGGTTTATTGGCCGGTGTTTTTTTTTTGGGGGGGGGGGGCAACCAACAAAATCAAATAAACGGTCCAGTCGAGTCAAATGTTGGCGCCATTATAAGTAAACGGTCCGGTCGAGTCAAATGTTGGCGCCATTATAAGAACTCAATTGTGGAATGACCCAGAAATGAATATGATTTGTGAACCCCGCCTCCCCTCCAGGAACAGATTGGTGCTTTTCATCCCTAATCACAAACAGAATGTTGACCCAGTGTAGCCTCTTAAAGGGGCCCGAACCACCGTCTCGACACGTGATGCACAAAGAGGAGGGAGGGGGGCGGTGTTATTTTGACGTCGAACAGGACCAGAACACACTCGCGCTCGGCCCCGAAAACATTCAAAGTTGTTCGTCCGCACTCATCATCCCAAAAGAGGGGATAACATGGCTGTGCCGGGGACTTGTTTTCGCTGAACAAGCCGGGAAAGCGCAGCGGAAACGGGGCGCCGGATGTCGGCAGCTCCCGCCCCATAAATAAGACATGAGCCTGGCTGGCTGCACCGCAGCGAGAGGGAGACAGCCAGCCATGATGAGACGCTTCCGACCTGACATGTTTGCTCGCTTTTGGTGTGTGGCGAACCAGTAGGTTCCGACAGACTATCCCACTACCGCTAGGGGGAGGCGGCACCTCGGCCGGGTGCCGGCCGCTGACAGGTCGTTGAGCTCCGGGGCAGAGCGAGGCTACGTCGTGCATCAGTGCGGGACATTTGCGGGTCGATTTTGTCTCGCGGATGGGGCGTTGAACTCACCGCAACAAAGGTGAGCGAAAGTATTATTTTCTTTCTTCTTTTTTTTTTTAATAGACATTTCATTGTTGACCTCATTGCTTGATGTAAAGCCATCGATCGCAAGGTGTTATTTTCTGGGCTGCTTGCTCGTGCAGCGACGGGGCTCCCAATTCCAAGTATCATCAAAGGCCTGTTGAGTGGCATTTCTCAACCATGTTTCAAGAAAGAGAGGCCAACTTGATTTTTTTTTCCCCCCCTTTGTGTTCGTGTGCAAAGACGACAAGCGGCATTGTGTTTCTACTACCACATTGATCCCAGAATAACAACTGGGCGGCTCACATTTCCTTCCTCAAAAGCCTCCTACTCATCATCATCATCATCTCCTGCGAGAACCCGATTGCTCTCAAATATTCCTTGGTATTTTATCTTACTTTGCAATTCAGTTCAAATGTTATTTTCCTCTTATTGCATTGAATCATCACCTGAGCATAAAAATAGAAGCTGCATTCTGTTGAAATATAGTAGTATGTATGGCTACTATAGTATTATTACATTACAACGTGTCTTAATTTGTGAATTACAGTCCCCTAGGGTAAAATGACAAAAGTCATTTCAATTGTTTTTTAAGTGTGCTGAGATATTTGTAAGAATATATGATGGGAGTCATGTCTGCCATCCTTTTCTGCAAAGCAATACATCCTCTCAGAGAAAGTCCTCCCTAACCTTTCTTGGGCCAAGGCAGATCACCAAACAAAACTGTCCCAAACAGTGGATACATCACAGAATGATGTACCTTGTTCTGTCTCGGAGAAGTCGATTTCATTGTCCTGCCTTATCACGACAGTCGAACCTCGTTAGGGCGCACCTCGAGGGACAGAAGGAATCTAACGGTAGTCAATTGTAACCGTGTCCAATAAAATGGCCGCCAACTACAAAGTAGTTGTACAGTATGAACGTTTATCGATGTAAAAACATGAACCTGTAATACAGTCTAAACACGTCAATTACAAATACGTGTTGACAGGATGTACAATAAATTATTTTATTCGACATGAAACAAACAAGTGTCGCATTCTTACGTCATCTCTGAAAACATTCAGTTCGCAAAAGAAAATTAAAAAGTGCCTCTTCTCCATTTTAGGCTGCGCCGCGTTCCGAAGCCGTCGACGATCATCGTTCAATCTGTTGGCCTCGAACTCTGCCATGAGTTTGTCGCCATTGCGGATGATTGTCAAAACGGTCGACTTTGCCAATTCGTAATCTCGGCTGAGCTTCGTCTGCTTTCGAAAATGATAGACAATGTCAGCCTTGGCAGGCAGCGAGATTTGCTTCCATTTACCAGACGTGTTTTCCGACCGTGTGCTCAGGACAGCGCGGTGCCTCCGGAAGTACAACAAGGGTACCAGTTGATCAGTCGTGTTGCTAAGCAACAGAGGGGAATCCCGCGCCATACATTTTGCCCATAAGCAAGGTCGCGGCTGCTGTTAGCTTCCCGCGGTTCGTTGTCACCAAGACGTTTTCACTATTTTGTGGGGAAAAATCTGGTCGTTATCGAGAAGTTTATGGTGTAAAGGTGTTGGTTCTAAGCAAAATGGAAAAAGAATTGCGCAAAATCGGGACTTTGAAATGCGAACGTTATGCGGGTGCAAACGTAGTAAACGGGCTCAGCTTTCACAGAGTTTGTTTCACATGTCAGACCGGCTGCAAACAGGTTACGTCGCAGGCATTGCTTCATGAAGCAAGCCATATTTGTCAGTCATTTTCTTTTTTCTTTTAAATGCATGTGAACTGGGACACTTTTATAATTCACTTTCGTAGCCCTCAACCATCCCTCGCCTGTAACTTGCTGAGAAGATACGGAGTGTTTTTTAAGCTTGTGTATTTTTTTTTCCTGTTGGAATCCAAAGGATAAAAAAAAAAATCTCCAGACCGCAAAAACATTTGTTTTGGCTTTTTTTTTTTTTTTTTAAATAAGAAACACATGCGCGTGTGTGCGAGCGGTCGCGCACTCCCCCAGATGCCATACTAGACAACCACAAGTTTACCCTTCAAGTGAACATTGTTTTGCAAAATGTGCCTGGCTCGGTTTTGCACTTGTCTCTATTTTTAGTTGCAAAGTGGCACCATTTATAAATAACCCACAGACTTGATGCTGGTGCCGCTCACGTGGTTGGAGTGCTCCCACAATCCGGCGCTCTGCATGTTTTTAAGTCACCGCGCTGTCGTTTGTGCCACAAGCGAAGCTATTCGCTGCGACGATGCGGCGAAGACAGCAAGGAAGTTCTGCACGCGTATCGCGAAGCCTTTTTAAAATTCGATATTCCGAGGCAAGGATGCGGCGGCTAATTGTTAAATGACATACATTATTTATGTCAGCCAATAAAATAGTTCGGGTTGGCCCTTGGCTCTGGCATCAAACGTGACTCATGCTTTATCAAATCCATTTTCCACCGTGCTCGTCTTTATTTGGGTTCAATCGGAGTTGATCGCAGCTGACTTTGAGCGAGAGGCGGCGTACATGCCGGACTGCTTTTCAGCCAATCACAGGGCACCTGCTGGACGCGCGAGCAGCAGTTGACATATTGACATTCACACTTAGGAACAATTTAGGACCTCGAACCGAACGCGAGCCACTCAAATTAGCATGCTGCCACTTCAGCTCGACACGTTTCAAAATAAAATTGAGGATAATTCGGGCTGCGATGACTCGTCAAATAAATTGAGTAAAGACATTAAAAAAAAAAAAATCAAAAAAGTTGAAATACCGTAAAAATCAAATAATAAATAAATAAATAATACAGACCCCCCACATTTACCCTTAAAACATGTTTTTTTTCCTCTGTATTTATACATGTAATACAGCCCCCGCCCCCTGATTTGCTGGCTTCCTTTATGACACTGGTCAACATTTTTGTTTCTTCTTTTTGGAATGCCAAAGATATTTGAATGGTTTCTGGGCTGCTGAGTCAGAAAATGACAATCTGCCTTTGACAATAGCTCCGGTTTTAGTTTCTGTTGATATTTTTGACAATGATCAAATTCATTTGGGGATATCGAAGATGCTTGTCGTTTCTTCTTTCATGAAAGTGGAACAAGCTTGTTGTTGACTGTTAATATTGCTTGATTTTTCTTTTCCTCATGCCAATAGTTGAGGTCTCCCGAGGCATTTTTCAAATTGTGTTTTCTAAAATCTCGTTTTTTGAGCTGCGCACTCTTTTAGTCATTTTAGTCCGCTGCTTTTTAATTCTTGACTTTTAAATGTCTTCACAACACTTTTGTTTTTGTAAATGCTTTGAAATGTCCTTTCAAGTTAGGCCTGCACCTATCGAATATTTTGGTGCTCCTTTTGGATATCCTGTGCAAAATTCGATTGGAAGTTTCTCTCGCGCAAGAATCAGGATCATTTTCTTGATTGATTTGATTAAGTTTTGCATTCATGTGGTGAAATAGATCATTTATGTGGTTCTTGACGCATCTGGAATGAACGGAGAACGATCCATGATAGAATCCAATTTGATATGATGGATGGCGACATTCGAACAGAATTCAGGAAAAGACGATGGCTGTCGGACCTAAAATACTCACCATCATTTTCTTCTTTTATCTTGCCCGCTTCTTTCCTAACAGGCCTCCGTCATCCCTCCACCTGCCCGCCTCCCTGAGGTGAAGAGCGGCGATCGTCGCGGGGACCTCGCTTATCCCGCCCGTCTTATATGGGAGACTTTTGCAAGTTTGGAGAACCACACGAAGACCAAAGACCTGATCCTGACTCGCCGCGCGTGAACCTGCAATCACGTGACATGGAACTGAAGTATCGCAGCCAAAGAAATGCGGGGCGGGGATATGCAGAGATTTTCAAGTGCCTTGGACAGAGCGCTTCGTTTTCCATCGTCCCCCTGAGTCGTCATCGCCGTCGGTTGTCCTTTTGGATTGTGATTTCCTTCCATTTCCTTCCACCTGCTCTCCACCGTTAACCTCCCCCCACGCCCACCCAGTCGTCTGCTCCTTCCTCATCACTGCCATTATCTTGACACTCAGCAGCAGGCCGCGCTCACATGTGATGCTGTGGTAACTATGGCAACAGCCACCACAGCCACCTCTTCCTCCCCCCCGCCGCCGTCCTCGCCGGGAACCAACGGCAGCGCCCGGGAACACTTGATGGCGGTGAGGCGCCGTAGCCCTCACGGCCGGCCGTACACCATCGGGCCGGAAAACATCCGCAGCCTGTCCGGCTCTTCTTCGCCCGCGTCGCCGGTCTTGACGTCGGGGGGTCAGCCGGAAGCGGCGGGGGTGGGGCTGCAGCGGGCCAATAGCGACACCGATCTTGTCACGTCGGACAGCCGCTCCTCACTCACGGCGTCGACGTACCAGCTTGTCCTTGGCCACGGGCGCCTGGTTATCTCCTGGGACATCAAAGAGGAGGTGGATGCCACCGACTGGATCGGACTGTACCACATAGGTGAGCAAATACGGAGAGTAAGTCACTTTAGCGGGGGCATCTTGAACTTTGAAAGGATCGGCGGTTCAGAAAATGAATCACCATTTGCTTTGGCATTCTCAAATCCGCCTGTTGACAAACACACTAATTTGCAGTTTTCTACTCCGGCTGGTGGCATCAAATGACTTGACGAGTCTGACAAATTCAACACAGCGGTCTAATCGTTTCATGAACTGATTTATCTCGCGAGCGGCACGGTGGATGACTGGTGAGCACGTCGGCCTCACAGCGCAAAGGTGCGGGGGTTTGATTCCGACTTCGGGCTTCCTGTGTAGAGTTTGCATGTTGTCCTCGTGCCTGCGTACTCCAGTTTCCTCCCACATTCCAAAAACATGCATGGCAGCTGAATGGAACACTCTAAATTGTCCGCCCTCGGTGTGAGTGTGAGTGTGAATGGTTGCCCGTCAATGTGTGTGCCCTGCGATCGGTTGGCAACCGGTTCAGGGTGTCCCCTGCCTACTGCCCGAAGACTGCTGGGATAGGCTGTGGCACCCCTCGTGACCCTCCTGAGGATAAAGCAGATTACAAAATGGATGGATGGATCTTACACTATGGGGCAGTGGGATTCATTTGAGTCAGTGTTGCATGTTCACTGTCACTGTGACAGCATGTGATAAAGTGTTAAAAATCAAGAAACAGTTATTTATTCATTTGTGGAATGCCAAAGATGGCGTACTGTGGAGCTGCAAAGAAAAGTCACATGAGCTAAAATATCAAGTTGGTCTCAAGCCTATTCTCGAAACTGGCTTTTCCAAATCCTGATCAAGTCCCAATGTCACAAAGGCAAGAATGCTGCTCTAAGGTGAGCTTCATTCCACCACAGACTCTCGGGCTCTTGGATAGTATTGATCCAGACCGTAAAAAACAGGAAGGGTTAACTTGGGGATTACTCCAGGGGATGAGGGCGTGGAAGACTCGGCTTTCCCTCGATCCGCACTATCATCCTGTCTGTCCTGTGTGTTGTTCACCACCGTGACAGCGGCACATTATGGCTGTCAGCTACAAAGCTCTTTATTGATGGTGACCTGACTGCGGTCAATAAAGGGACTGTGTGTGCGTGCGTGCGTCGTGCGTTTGTGGGTGGGTGTTTGGATATGTGGGGGTGGGTGAGTGCATGTACGTGAGTTTGTGTGTGTGTGTGTGTGTGTGTGCGTGTGTGTGTGTGTGTGTGTGTGTGTGTGTGTGTGTGTGTGTGTCTGTATACAAGGGAGGGTTTTGATCGATCTGTCTGAAACATTTGACCATTTGTTTCCCTACATCAAAATGATGCCAATTAATAAGATAATGAAAAACTTTGTGGGGGCCGGCAAAAGTCAGAAAGTGAAACTGTACATTTTCCTTCTCAAATACTGAATTGCTATTAGTGCAAATCATTTGTAGGGCAGCTTTGTTTTCATTTGGGGAGGGGGGGGGTCCTACTTAGTAGAATTCAACAGTTGATGAAAATCGGTATTATTTTCGTATATTATTTTGTTTTATGTAAAGTGCTTTGTTACAGCGGTATTCCACTGTTGTGTGTGTGTGTGTGTGTGTGTGTGTGTGTGTGTGTGTGTGTGTGTGTGTATATTTATTCTTTAATTCTATCTGTCTAGCTAGCTAGCTAGCTTTCCATCTATCTTGCTAGCTAGCTCGCTATCTATCTATCAATCTATCTATCTATCTATCTATCTATCTATCTATCTATCTATCTATCCATCCATCCATCCATCCATCCATCCATCCTAAAATAATATACGGTAGTATAAGCGTTAAAAAAAAGAACTCAGTTATTTCAATTGTATGTGGTTCCTGTGGCGGCCTGTAGCTTCTGCTCACGCATACAACCAAGCTTAGGAGAGTCACCGGAGTGAACATGAACACACACAAACCATGGGTAGATATACTTTGAGTTGTACTTGTTGGACGCTTGTATGGGAGATCTCAAGTAATTTGCTCAATTCAAATACCATATTAGTTGTGCATCTTTGCTCGTGTTGTCGTCAACACAACCAAGGAGACTAACCACACTAACTGTGACCAAGGCATTACCAAGACTCAAGACCGAGAAAACTTTTGGAGGTTGAAATTGAGATAAGACCAAGACTGGTTATATAAAATAAAAATCGCAACCAAAAAAAAAAAAAAACATTAAAATGACAAGTCCGTTTTCTTTTTTTGTCACTTTTGCTGCAACAATAAAAAAAATTCGGCTATGCTGTTTTTGAAATAGTGCGATGATACAAATTTCATTTCTAAGCAATTTATTTTTTTTTAATCAAATCATACTTATTAAAAGTGAATTGTCCTGCCAAGCCATCATAAATGTTTTGAGAATTTTGAGAAGGAAAAATTCTGAAGAAAAATGAACTCCTAATTTTTTGGCAAAGCGAACTTAGTTAGTGACGAGTTTGTCGACATGTTCTCACATTTTTTTTCTTCGGGGTGCTACATCTCCAATCGTCTTCATCCACTTTCTGTGTGCAGTGGGCGGGGCACTGCGGGCGACGCCGGGAAAAATAAAAAATGTAGCAGAGTGGTGATGTAAACGACGTCTCATTGTTGGCTGAAAAAAGACTGCCATTGATCCGGTCGTTGATGTGTTCTCCAGACGAGACATGCGTCGCCAATGTGTGGGACTCCAAGAACCGCGGCGTGAACGGCACTCAGCGAGGACAGATTGTGTGGAAATTAGAGGCGGGGCCCTACTTCATGGACTGTGAGTACCTGTTTTTAAAAAAAAAAAAAAAGGCAAAATACGCTCAGACATTTGCTCAACTGAATTCTGTATGAGGCCACTCACACGATGTCCGTGCTGCGATTCCTTTTTCTATTTCACACTTATATGAGAGGAAGCAAGGCTGCGAATCGAAACCGTGTGAATGATGCAGTCTTGTCTCTCTGCAGATGAGACGAAGATCTGCTTCAAATACTATCACGGTGTGAGCGGAGCCCTCAGAGCAACAACGCCTTGCATCACCGTCAAGAACCCTGGCGTGACGGTACAGCCGTTTTACCATCCTTCCTTCCCTCATGTCCTTCTTAATTGCATTGCTGCGGAGGGTGGCGCTGGCACTTCTGTTCCATTCCCCGCTCCACGCACCAAGATATTTTTTGCTTCGGGCACAGGATCTAAATAAACAATCCTGAATGGAAGCTGAATGAAGACATTTCTGACTTGAAGGTTTACAAGACAATACATTACATATTTATTTATATAGCCCTTTCGCAACAGCTACAGCTGTAACAAAGCGCTTTACAAAACAGTTAACATAAAGTAAAATAATCAACACAACACATAACATAAAAACACGGATGGTCGTGCAATCTAAACCACTTTTCCCCTCATGCGCTTTGTTGTTTGAAGCGGCTCTAGATGAAAGAGGAGAGACTCAAAGTGTCCTTACACCAGTGGATCAGAGACGTCATGCTGAAAATGTGCACACGTCAGCGACAAGCTAAGTTTGAAAGTAAACAAGAAGCTGTAGTGTTGTCCGTTGATGGAAAAAAAAGAGATTGGTTCACTTCTCCTGTCACGTATAAATTCATTTCAATTCCAAGCGAACGACGTTCCTCCCAATCCAAATCAGTGCCAGTGCACGCGTGCTGCCGACAAGGCGCAACCACCATGCACAGATTCTTCTCCTTTGATGAATGTCGTGGCCAAAAAAACACTGAAAAAAATCCACATCGGGTCCACACAACGTAGCAACAAACACCATGTGACAAAACAAAAGACAAAAACCTCAAAAAAACAAAATAAGCAAGGCTCTTCAAGAGCGCTTGCCGACGCCTGCCAACTGCTGCGTTATCTTGGGGAAAAAAAACGTTTAAAACCAAGTCTGCTGAGGGAGCCTTTTTCTGTTCTTTCTCTCTCCCCAGGTGGGCAGCGAGGGTCAAATTGAAAGCCAGTCAGGGGCGGAGCACTGTCGCAAGTTGGTCAGCTTCACCCTCTCAGGTGAGAGGACGCATCTCAGGGGTGCAAAGACCCCTTTAAATGCACGCCAATGTAACATGAACCAAGTGTGTGTTGTCCATTGCAGACATTCGGGCGGTGGGCCTAAAGAAGGGCATGTTTTTCAACCCGGACCCTTACTTGAAGATGTCATGCTGAAAATGTGCACACGTCAGCGACAAGCTAAGTTTGAAAGTAAACAAGAAGCTGTAGTGTTGTCCGTTGATGGAAAAAAAAGAGATTGGTTCACTTCTCCTGTCACGTATAAATTCATTTCAATTCCAAGCGAACGACGTTCCTCCCAATCCAAATCAGTGCCAGTGCACGCGTGCTGCCGACAAGGCGCAACCACCATGCACAGATTCTTCTCCTTTGATGAATGTCGTGGCCAAAAAAACACTGAAAAAAATCCACATCGGGTCCACACAACGTAGCAACAAACACCATGTGACAAAACAAAAGACAAAAACCTCAAAAAAACAAAATAAGCAAGGCTCTTCAAGAGCGCTTGCCGACGCCTGCCAACTGCTGCGTTATCTTGGGGAAAAAAAACGTTTAAAACCAAGTCTGCTGAGGGAGCCTTTTTCTGTTCTTTCTCTCTCCCCAGGTGGGCAGCGAGGGTCAAATTGAAAGCCAGTCAGGGGCGGAGCACTGTCGCAAGTTGGTCAGCTTCACCCTCTCAGGTGAGAGGACGCATCTCAGGGGTGCAAAGACCCCTTTAAATGCACGCCAATGTAACATGAACCAAGTGTGTGTTGTCCATTGCAGACATTCGGGCGGTGGGCCTAAAGAAGGGCATGTTTTTCAACCCGGACCCTTACTTGAAGATGTCCATTCAGCCCGGGAAAAGGACGGCCCTCCCCAAGTTCACCCACCACGGCCAGGAGAGGCGGACTTCCATTATCGCCAATACCACCAACCCCGTGTGGCACGGCGAGGTCGGCAACGTGATGGGCCGTCGCTCCCGCAGGCCAATTTGAATGGCTCTTTGACGCTCCTTTTTCCCTGTTGTGTTGTAGAAATACACTTTTGTGGCCCTGATGAGTGACGTGATGGAGATCGAAGTGAAAGATAAGTTTGCCAAGAGCCGACCAATCATCAAGCGCTTTCTGGGTCAGCTGATCATACCTGTACAGAGACTTCTGGAGGGGCCCGCGGCCGAGTGAGTCGATTTGCATCGTGTGTGGAAACTCGGGGGGGGTGTTCTCTGGCTTTTTTTTTTTTTTTTTTATGAAATTCCGCTCTTTGTGTTTCTACAGCCAACACCCGGTCAGCTACAGCTTATGTCGCCGCCTCCCGACAGATCACGTTAGCGGGCAGCTGCAGTTCCGGGTGGACATCACGTCTACTGGACATGAGGGTATGTGTTGATTTCACATTTTGTCGTTGTTATTAACAATCCATCTCGAAGATAAAAAAATAAATAAAAGCGTGTCCTGAGTAAGTATTAAGAATGGCTGTGAAGCGCAGACAATCGTCAAGGCCAAATAATGCTTATTTGGATCAGCATCTAGTTCGACTCAACTCAACTTATTTCGAGAGCACTTGAAAACAACTGCCGCTGTGTACAAAGTGCCGTACATGGAGCAAAAATAATTCAGATAACAACAAAAAATAATATGAAAAGACAGTAGAAAGCACAAAAACAGTCAAACTAAAAATCAAGTCTCATACTGAGTCAAAAGCCAAAGAATAAAAATGAGTTTTAAGACGAGTTTTAAAGATGGCCAGCGAGGGGGGCTTGCCGAATGTTCAGTGGGAGGTCATTCCAAAGCAGTGGGAAAGGTAGAAGTGGGGGCGAGGCCATTTCAAGATTTGAAAACAAATAATAAGATCTTCAGAAGAACTCGAAAATATTTTGGGAGCCAGTGAAGGGAGGCCAGAGTAGGAGTTCCCTCTGACGAGTACCAGTCAAGAGGCAAGCGGCAGCATTTTGGACCAACTGGAGACGCTTCATGGAGGATTGTCTGACTCCAATGTAAAGTGCGTTACAGTCATCCAGCCGAGATGTGACGAAGGCATGAATGACTCTTTCAAAGTGCTCTTGAGAAAGGGGAGGCTTGACTTTAGCCATTTAGTGAATAGTTCGTGAATAGGCGAGTTTGTGAATAGTAAACGATGAATATGTGCGAGGTACTTCCAGTTTGATTAGAAAAAGAAGCAATATTTTTTTTTTCACGCAACTCTGCAAATAAAACTTGCGCAATGAAAACATCGAATCTCTTTGGTGGAGGTGATGGATCGAACAAGCTTGTGTTCCTCTCCAGATGCAACAGGAACCATTTTGGGCAGCGCCGTGAACAGCGACCCCGGGAGTCCGTCTGACGACGATGACCTCCCGCACCATTCCTCATCTTCTCGCCTCGCATGCGGCGCTGCCCTCACAGGCTCGGAGGAAAGCCCCCTGTTAGTCAACGGTTCTTGTTACTATGGCAACAGCAGCGCCTGGCAGGAGGACACGGTTCTGGCGGCCGCGGGCGGCCACACCCACAGGCAAGTGTCCCTCAATGACTACTTGGATGCCATTGAGGCCTCCGGCATCCCCGTGGAGCGACTTCCTGCAGGGCCGTCGCCAAGGCTCCGCTCCAGCTTTCCCACGGACACGCGCCTCAACGCGATGCTCCACATCGACTCGGACGAGGACGAGGAGAGCGCGGGGCAGCGCGGTACCCAGCAGGAGACAAGGTCGCAAAGGACCGCGGCCGCGGACGTTGCCGGTGGGAGCGAGGGCTCCCAATGCGAGCGCGCCGGAAAAAAAAGAGATTGGTTCACTTCTCCTGTCACGTATAAATTCATTTCAATTCCAAGCGAACGACGTTCCTCCCAATCCAAATCAGTGCCAGTGCACGCGTGCTGCCGACAAGGCGCAACCACCATGCACAGATTCTTCTCCTTTGATGAATGTCGTGGCCAAAAAAACACTGAAAAAAATCCACATCGGGTCCACACAACGTAGCAACAAACACCATGTGACAAAACAAAAGACAAAAACCTCAAAAAAACAAAATAAGCAAGGCTCTTCAAGAGCGCTTGCCGACGCCTGCCAACTGCTGCGTTATCTTGGGGAAAAAAAACGTTTAAAACCAAGTCTGCTGAGGGAGCCTTTTTCTGTTCTTTCTCTCTCCCCAGGTGGGCAGCGAGGGTCAAATTGAAAGCCAGTCAGGGGCGGAGCACTGTCGCAAGTTGGTCAGCTTCACCCTCTCAGGTGAGAGGACGCATCTCAGGGGTGCAAAGACCCCTTTAAATGCACGCCAATGTAACATGAACCAAGTGTGTGTTGTCCATTGCAGACATTCGGGCGGTGGGCCTAAAGAAGGGCATGTTTTTCAACCCGGACCCTTACTTGAAGATGTCCATTCAGCCCGGGAAAAGGACGGCCCTCCCCAAGTTCACCCACCACGGCCAGGAGAGGCGGACTTCCATTATCGCCAATACCACCAACCCCGTGTGGCACGGCGAGGTCGGCAACGTGATGGGCCGTCGCTCCCGCAGGCCAATTTGAATGGCTCTTTGACGCTCCTTTTTCCCTGTTGTGTTGTAGAAATACACTTTTGTGGCCCTGATGAGTGACGTGATGGAGATCGAAGTGAAAGATAAGTTTGCCAAGAGCCGACCAATCATCAAGCGCTTTCTGGGTCAGCTGATCATACCTGTACAGAGACTTCTGGAGGGGCCCGCGGCCGAGTGAGTCGATTTGCATCGTGTGTGGAAACTCGGGGGGGGTGTTCTCTGGCTTTTTTTTTTTTTTTTTTATGAAATTCCGCTCTTTGTGTTTCTACAGCCAACACCCGGTCAGCTACAGCTTATGTCGCCGCCTCCCGACAGATCACGTTAGCGGGCAGCTGCAGTTCCGGGTGGACATCACGTCTACTGGACATGAGGGTATGTGTTGATTTCACATTTTGTCGTTGTTATTAACAATCCATCTCGAAGATAAAAAAATAAATAAAAGCGTGTCCTGAGTAAGTATTAAGAATGGCTGTGAAGCGCAGACAATCGTCAAGGCCAAATAATGCTTATTTGGATCAGCATCTAGTTCGACTCAACTCAACTTATTTCGAGAGCACTTGAAAACAACTGCCGCTGTGTACAAAGTGCCGTACATGGAGCAAAAATAATTCAGATAACAACAAAAAATAATATGAAAAGACAGTAGAAAGCACAAAAACAGTCAAACTAAAAATCAAGTCTCATACTGAGTCAAAAGCCAAAGAATAAAAATGAGTTTTAAGACGAGTTTTAAAGATGGCCAGCGAGGGGGGCTTGCCGAATGTTCAGTGGGAGGTCATTCCAAAGCAGTGGGAAAGGTAGAAGTGGGGGCGAGGCCATTTCAAGATTTGAAAACAAATAATAAGATCTTCAGAAGAACTCGAAAATATTTTGGGAGCCAGTGAAGGGAGGTCAGAGTAGGAGTTCCCTCTGACGAGTACCAGTCAAGAGGCAAGCGGCAGCATTTTGGCCCAACTGGACATGGAGGATTGTCTGACTCCAATGTAAAGTGCGTTACAGTCATCCAGCCGAGATGTGACGAAGGCATGAATGACTCTTTCAAAGTGCTCTTGAGAAAGGGGAGGCTTGACTTTAGCCATTTAGTGAATAGTTCGTGAATAGGCGAGTTTGTGAATAGTAAACGATGAATATGTGCGAGGTACTTCCAGTTTGATTAGAAAAAGAAGCAATATTTTTTTTTTCACGCAACTCTGCAAATAAAACTTGCGCAATGAAAACATCGAATCTCTTTGGTGGAGGTGATGGATCGAACAAGCTTGTGTTCCTCTCCAGATGCAACAGGAACCATTTTGGGCAGCGCCGTGAACAGCGACCCCGGGAGTCCGTCTGACGACGATGACCTCCCGCACCATTCCTCATCTTCTCGCCTCGCATGCGGCGCTGCCCTCACAGGCTCGGAGGAAAGCCCCCTGTTAGTCAACGGTTCTTGTTACTATGGCAACAGCAGCGCCTGGCAGGAGGACACGGTTCTGGCGGCCGCGGGCGGCCACACCCACAGGCAAGTGTCCCTCAATGACTACTTGGATGCCATTGAGGCCTCCGGCATCCCCGTGGAGCGACTTCCTGCAGGGCCGTCGCCAAGGCTCCGCTCCAGCTTTCCCACGGACACGCGCCTCAACGCGATGCTCCACATCGACTCGGACGAGGACGAGGAGAGCGCGGGGCAGCGCGGTACCCAGCAGGAGACAAGGTCGCAAAGGACCGCGGCCGCGGACGTTGCCGGTGGGAGCGAGGGCTCCAAATGCGAGCGCGCCGGATCAGAAGCGGACTCTCCTGTCGCTGAATCGGCTCAGGTCGATGGTTCGGGGAGCGCGGCGAAGCTGCAAATGGAGGAGATGCCGATGATCAACAGCGCGGATGCCACCGGCGCATCGGCACGTGTTAGTGGAGAAATGGAAACCAGCGGTTCTCCTCAGGCTTCGCAACTAGAGTCTGCAAGCGATTGCACATGCGGCGAGCAAAATTCGAGGATGAACACCAACCAGGCCTGCAGTTCTTCATATAGCGCGAGCTGCGGCCCACTTTCACCCATTCAGGTATGATGCTGTTGTTAGCAACATGGATTCAAATTGAGACAAATTTGTTGGTTCTGGTGCATCGGGGGAGTGGCCACCTTTTCAGAAGTGGGCATCGAACTAACCAAACTGTCGAAACACGACAAAATGAAGAGAACTGACAGTTGAGAGTAGATGAATTCAATTTAATTAAACGGCTTTTAAAATGTTGGTTGTAATTATAAAGAAGTGCTTCTGATGGTTTTTCGGCCAGAAGAGAAAGGCCTTTTGCTGTCCCCGACTTTCCGCCAGTGCGAAAAATCTGTCCGAATAGCACAAGCTAGTCTCGAAGACAGAAAAAGAGTTGGACTTGCGCCGTCGATGAATCTTCGGATTGTTGATGTTTGATCCCAACGAGGATCTGCTTTTTGTCCCAGGAGGTGGATACGAGGACGGAAGTGGCTCCGAGGGCAGAGGAGGAAGGAGCAGAGTTATCCAGCAGCAACAGTTTAGCGACGACTGCTATGACAACGGGGAGCGACATTGGAACCTCTGATGCAGGTGGGTGGGAACCCGGCCAGTAATCAATTCACTCATCACCGAGACTTATCTTCATCAAGCTGACTTGAATTCCACTCGCATTTGTGTCTTCATGTTCAATGGTTCCCTACCGTTAATTGATGTGCTGTGTTGATCTTCGGGTGTGCTGTGGGAAATGAGGGGAAATGACGCGGTCACCAAGTACTACCTCAAAAAATACCTAAAAAAAATAAAATCCCGTGAATAATACTGTAGTGGTTTTTTTTTTTTTGTTTTTTTTGGTGCAAAAAATATAAATAAATAAAGATACCAAATCCTGGGTATGTATTGTACAGGGCCCGAATAAGAATAAAAAATGTTCCGATTATTTAGACGTTTTGCAATTAACTGGGCACAACTCCATCTAGTGGTAGAATAACGCAACTATTGTTGCTTCTATTCTATGCGCGTTATAATGCGGTGCGTCCTACATATGAAGACAGCTCTAAAATAGGCCATTCATCGAAGGTACGCCTTATAGTGCGGAAAATACGGGATTTACATCATGATTCGACTAAATTGCATCGCAAAACACAAATGTGGTGAATTTAATCTTTACAATTGAACTGTGCTTAGGCTGTTTTTTTTTTTTTTGTTTTTGTTTTTTTTTTTTTTTGGGGGGGTGTTTAACTAAACCGGCCCAGATTTCACATTGAGTAAGTCTGTGTGTGTTGGGAAGAGTGGTGCAGACAATGATCTCACTTTTGAATCCAGAAGATGCTAGGCTTCTGTTGAACTTAAGATAAACATAACGAAGACAAGAAGTCTGTCCCACTTTGTCTGCCGCAGGGGCTGTTGGCCCAGAAGTGCAGGGAGAGGAGGAAGAGGAGGTGGATGAGCAAGGAGAAGTGTGGAAGAGACGCTCTTTGCGGGCCGCCGAAGTTGCTGCTGACAACCAGGTGGCATGCAGGGCCAGAGATGGACTGAGCGCGGCGTTGTCAGATAGAGAACCCGGTGAGCCGACTTTGAAACCAAAGAGGGAGAGTGATAACATGGAGGAAAAAAATGAATCATTGATATCAAGCTCTTCCAGTTTTCCCCCCAAAGCGCGACCTCAAAAAAGACGGAGCTCTCCAAGCGCCATCGTAATGACCAACATTAAAATTCAGTCGCGCCATGGCCCAAGTAGCAAGTAGTTTTATTCTTAAAAGGCCTGATGTGCAATTGAACGGTAACACTGCATATAAATAAATACAGGAAAGCAAAAAACTCACATTAAATTTAAAAACGATACCCAAATAAATTGTTTGAAACAGTACTGCTTCTCCGCGGTCGTGTCGCGGAGGCAGCAGCTCCAACAGGGAATGCCAGTCTTCCATCTCCCCAGCTACGTCTTTCAACTCTTCCGCAAGGATCATATCCTGGATCGTCCCCGGGGCCTCCTGCCGGCGGGACATGCCCGGAACGCCTCACCAGGCAGGCGTCCGGGAGGCATTCTAATCAGATAGCCGAGCCATCTCGTCTGTTTCCTCTCAACGTGGAGGAGCAGCGGCTTGACTCTGAGTCCCTCCCCGGATGACCAAGCTTCTAAGCTCTCTCAGGGAGGTCTCAGATTCGGAGGTGCTGATTTTCATCCCAGCCGCTTCACAGTCGGCCTCGAACCGCTCCAGTGAGAGTTGGCTTCATATCCAACGACACGATTGCAAAGTCGATCATCGAAATGCAGTGTGCCCTGGTGCCAAGGATGGACACCCTTCTGTTTGAACGTGCTGTTCGTTGTGGACAATCCACGATGAGCACAAAAGTCCAGTAGCAGAACGCCACTTAAGTTCAAATCGCGGGAGGGGTCATTCCTCCCAATCGCGCCTTTGCACGTCTTACCACCTGTCATTGTGCAATTATACATCTTTGTTGAAATTATTTATGGTATTAAATGGATGGTGCACCGTTATCTAAATGCCCAATAGTGTTTCGTTAATATAAATGATGATTACTTTTATATTGTGTGTGTGCGTGCGTGTGTGTGTGTGTGCTTCCACAGCTCAGGTCAACGGCCACGTTTCTGTGTGCGTGCGCGTGCGTGCTTCCACAGCTCAGGTCAACGGCCACGTTTCTGTTCACACGCTGCCGTCCGTACGCCACGACATCAGTCGCTACCAGAGAGTGGACGAACCCCTCCCGCCGAGTGAGTGTTCTTCAGTATTTTTTTTGGACATTTTTCAGGTTGAAAAAATATACAGCGGTTGACCTCCAAGGTCAAACACAGTTGGTTGCAGGATGTTGCTTGACCTCCAACTTGTTTGGATTTGGAAACACTTGTCCCCCATAGGAAATGATGGAAATAGATCGCAATGTAGAGTGACGGGCAAAACTCAACTCAACTTTATTTCTAGAGCACTTAAAAAAACAAATAAAAAATAAAAACCATAGGTGCAGAAAAAGTGCTATACAGTGAAAATCAGACAGAAAAACAAAGACAGTTAAATGCTCTTCCTCTAGCGAGCAAAAAAAGAAACAACATTTGTTTTGTCCCGCGGCCATTCATACAACACTCAACTTTAATCAAGAAAATAATTTTTAAGTAAATTGGGGTGGAGTTCAGTATCTATCTATATTTTTGTTCAAATTTTTGTTTGGTGGTGTGCTGCTTTGTTGTAATGGCACAATAAAGTTTGGGATGCAGTTGACCATGCGCATTCCAAAAAAAAGGTCAAATAAAGTTCACTTGTAAAGGTTACAATGCATTTCAGGTTTCGTCTGTCAATAGCACCCAGTAGCCCAATATCCTTAACTTATTGCAACCGCCGTACGGACCATATACAGTGAAACTCCTCTACAGCGAAATCATGTTTACAACAATAAATTTTTCACAACAGAGGACTTTTCACTGTAGCAAATTTTATCTCAGACGTAAACACGAACACACACAAAAAACGTATATGTGTACTTTTTATTTTTATTCCAATAGTGCATAAGTATGAGCATACACTTATTTGACACTTCATATAGCCAGTGTAGAAAGAAAAAAAACGGGAAAGAAATTGCGAAATTTACGATCAGCACTCACTTTCACTTCCATCAATTTCTTGCATAATGTTTTTTGCGTTACAGCTTTTCTTTTTTTAACTCATTGGTATGCAAAGGTACGTTTTATCGCCATTTTAGCAATGCAACGTTCGTGCTGTGTCTGAAACAAATACTTCCTGGACTACTGCGCATGTGTAAACCAGTGTGGTGGTTGCTGTTGCCGTTTCCGAACGGAGCAGCAGAGGTCGCTGTGGCATGCTGATGTTGGATTAGACTTTTGCGGAAGGCTTGTTTTCGTTGTACTCGTTGCAAGGCAAGAGCAGAGAAAAATATTTCTTATAACGGAACAGGGGGACTTTTCGTTGCTGGGGTAGCAGAAAAGTGGGAATGGCTTTCATGCATGAAAACCTTTTCACACTAGGGGGTATTTTCGCCCATGTAGGTTTCGTTGTAGAGGAGTTTCACATCAGTTAGGATGATCTTAGCCGGTCACAAGAGGAACCAGAGCGCAGCTCAGTCTCCATAGGGCATGTGTTTGCATATTAGACTGGGAGGCGCGGATCGACAGCCACGGGAGGATCTTTTACGTGGACCACGTGAACAGAACCACCACCTGGCAACGTCCCACAGCCCCGGCTGCCCAGCAGACACTCCAGAGGTCTAGCTCCATCCAGCAGATGGAGCAGCTGAACCGCAGGTCGGGACCACTGAACACCTGAACATCATCGGCACAGAACGTGCAGACTGTAACCACGGCGATGAAAACACTCACCTTCAGGTATCAGAGCATTCGGAGGACGATAACCAATGACAGCAGAGGGGAGGAGGTGCCGGCCAATGAGCAGCCACCAGACGAGACTGGTCTGCACCCCGCCTTCCCAGGTTCGCCCGTGGAGAAGTACTCACTAAAAATCACAATACTGTCAAAGCATTCCGATAAAGCAATGGATGTGCTCATGTTCTCGAAATAGACCTTGCGTGGCTCTCGTCTTTTTGCAGAGCTGCGTCGAGACAGCAGCGCAGCCCAGTCCTGTTCCAGATCCCACCTCTACCTGCTGCTCCAGTCTCCCAGCGCCAGGTTCCTCACCAGCCCCGACTTCTTCACTGTGCTGCATTCTAACCCCGTATGTGCAAAAAGAAATTGTTTCATTTTCATTTGTAAAATGTACGACAGTGTTCCCCCAAATTTCACAGGAAATAAACATTTAGCTTTACTGTCAACTCTATACCATACAGTGGTACCTCTACGTACAAAATTAATATGTTCTGGAACAAATTTCTTGACCAGAAAAGTTTGTTAGTAGAGACGCGTTTTCCATGTAAATGCCCTAATCCGTTCCAAGCCACCAAAATTCAGACGTAAATGTTTTATCAAGCATAAAAATGCATCAAAATATGTAACAAATACATGTTACAATTAGGTTATTGCACAATAAATGAGAGTTGTGCATAAGGTAAAAACCAAAGAACAGAGTAAAGAATTATTTTGTAAAAGACTGATCCAAGGACATTTGCTTTTGTTGGCTTTTAACAATCCTTTGAAAGTGTCTAAGGCAAACATCAGCATAGTGAGCGATCGCCCGACTGGTGAACACTTTTTCTGGACGCTTCACATTTACGTAAAACCTTTCGCTCTGCCCGCTTTCTGCCAGAGTGCCTATCGCATGTTTACCACCAACACGTGCTTGAAACACATGATCAGTAAGGTGCGCCGGGACACGCACCACTTTGAGCGCTACCAGCACAACCGGGACCTGGTGGCCTTCCTCAACATGTTTGCCAACAAACAGCTGGAGTTGCCTCGAGGCTGGGAGATGAAGCATGACCACACCGGCAAGGTGGGCCTTCCTCATCCTCGTCCTCATCCTCATAATCACTTGCGTTGTCTTTATTGAGACGTAAACATGAGATGACCAGAACCGTGTTGTCCAACAGCCTTTCTTTGTGGACCACAATAGCCGTGCCACCACCTTCATTGACCCTCGGCTACCCCTGCAGAGCTGTCGACCACCGAGCCTCTTGACTCACCGCCAACATCTGACCCGCCAACGCAGCCATAGCGCTGGTGAAGTCAGCCCGCGGCGCCTGGTAAGTCCCGTCCAACAGCGGTCCGCGACTGTCGTCATCAGGACGCGTGTTGTCGCTAAATTGCGAAACCTCTTTTCGTTTTAAGAACAATAAAGAAAAGATATCGTTCCAAAATAGCCTTTGAAAATATGTACTCGATCTTTCTTAAATTCCTGGCTTTTCCTAAAGTGAGCCCCCCCCCCCCAAAAAAAAGAGATTTAAAAAATGGTGAGATTAATTAATTATGATCTGTAATTAATTGATCTAATTAATCAATGCTTTAAATTTATATATATATACACACACACACACACACACACACACACACATTCAAAAATTCACCTGGAAAAGGTAACAGTTGAGTTTGAATTAACATACTACAGTGTGTGTGCATTAAAAAACGAACAGTATGTAAGGGTCAAAACCAAGTTGAAACTATCTGCAGGTAGGCGAAGAGTCACGTCATGCTGGTCCTCCCATCTTGCCGAGGCCCTCAAGCACCTTCACATCCGCTAGTAGGGGCCAGGGGCCAGATGTTGTGCCAGTGGGTCAGTATACATACATGCAAGCGGTACAATTAAAACAAACAAAAACCTTCAGTTTGTTTCAATAGACTTACGGTGTGCATTATTTTTGTCCTCCCTGTAGCATACAATGACAAGATTGTGGCATTTCTACGGCAACCCAACATCTTTGAGATTTTACAGGAGAGGCAGCCAGATTTCCACCGGAACCATTCGCTCAGGTAAACCCACGCTCGTGTCGTAAGGCCAACGTATAGAAGCCACGGGCTCCAGTTTGTTCATGCAGTGCAGTTTAATGTTGCCATGACAACAGGGAGAAGGTCCAGCTGATCCGCACGGACGGAGCGTCGGGATTGGCGCGGCTCTCGGGAGACGCCGACCTCGTTATTTTGCTCAGGTGAGGCCACCTTTCATGTCATCCTTGTCCGTCTGCTTGTTGGCTTAGCGTCTTTCTCTCCTCCGCAGTCTGTTTGAGGATGAAGTCATGTCCTACGTGCCTCCTCATGCCTTACTGCACCCCAGCTATTGCCAGTCTCCTCGGGGCTCCCCTGTCTCCTCCCCGCAAAACTCACCCGGTAACGTCATTTCTACATGCTGCCATTTTAGCGCATCCGGCGACTTGCGCAAGTACCGCATGCCACACTCAGACTCTGCTCAGTCTGAGTTCCTAATACCATCTTGTCAAAAGATGAATATGAGACAAGGAATCGACATTCCATAAGAATGCATCGACATACCGTATACCGCTTGAGAGGCTGTCCAAAATAATCAATTTTGAAGCTTGGATTAAAATGGAGAATCAATCAATTGCACAATTATTGGTCATAGCTGAGTTCGAGTGTCAATGAAATATGTCCAAGATATGCCTAAGATGCCAAAATGCCTCTTCTCTGTCTTGTAGGCACTCAGAGAGCAAACGCCAGAGCTCCAGCGCCGTATAAGAGAGACTTTGAGGCCAAACTGCGCAACTTCTACAGAAAGCTGGAGACCAAAGGCTATGGCCAGGGACCAGGGAAGCTCAAGTAGGTGGCGCCTGCCCGCGAGTGGGTGAGTGTTCATGATTCACAAGATTTGTACACATGTGTCAGGTTGATCATCCGCCGCGACCACCTGCTGGAAGATGCCTTCAATCAGATCACCTGCTACTCCCGCAAAGATCTGCAGCGCAGCAAGCTGTACGTCAGCTTTGTGGGCGAGGAGGGGTGAGTCGGTCGTGACACCAACAAGCATGTCCTAACAAATGGGTGGGTGGGTAGCATTCGCCATTTTAAATTGGCCACCAAAATCAAAAGAGGAAAAATTGGAAGCGAGCAGGCGAGTCCGGCATGATTGTGAACGGTTGGAGGCTGATGTTTGTCTTTTTTTTTTTTCCAGATTGGACTATAGTGGACCTTCCCGAGAATTCTTCTTCCTGGTTTCAAGAGAATTGTTCAACCCTTACTATGGTCTCTTTGAATATTCTGCAAACGACACATACACAGTCCAGATCAGCCCCATGTCAGCCTTTGTGGACAATCACCATGAGTGGTGAGTGCTGCATTTTTATTTTATTTTATTTTATTTATTTATTTATTATTATTCTATTCTAATTTATTTATTTATTTCATCATAGTATGCAGATGGTTCTGACAGAACCTCTGAGTATCAGGCCTGTCTGCATTGGAAATCACTTAAAAGATGTCCAGCAGGTGGCAGCGTCACCTTACATAAACCATATTAAAACAAAAAATATATTTCCCTCCCCCAACTTTTTCCATTTTCAAACATTTTTTGAAAAAGCTTCGGGGAGCCACTAGGGTGGCGCTCTGGGGCCGCGGGTTGCCGACCCCCGGTCTTGATGAGCACAAAGTCCTACTATGCAATTGTAATTTCATGTTGGTCACGATACTTGTATTTTTTTTTTTTTTTTTTTTAGTCGGAGGTGTAAAACCGACTTAACGTTTTCCCTGGGCCGTGTGTGCACTTTCAGGTTTCGCTTCAGCGGCCGCATTCTGGGTTTGGCTCTGATCCACCAGTACCTTCTGGATGCGTTCTTCACCCGACCCTTCTATAAAGGATTATTGCGCATGTACGCAGGCGGAGAAGGACGCAAGCATGCAACGAAACATTCCCGCACCGATGCCTGTTGTCTTGTGTGTGTGTGTGTAGCCCGTGCGATCTGAGCGACCTGGAGTATCTGGATGAGGAGTTTCACCAGTCGCTTCAGTGGATGAAGGACAACGACATTGAGGACATGCTGGACCTCACCTTCACTGTCAATGAGGAAGTCTTTGGCCAGGTCGCAACCTCCCCCTAAACTAAACTAAACTAAAATGAGCGACTAATAGTTAGTCAGTGGCATTTTAAAATGTATGTTAGCATTATCCCGCGGCGTGTCTTTGTTACGGCAGATCACAGAGCGCGAGCTGAAGGCTGGCGGGGCCAACATCCCCGTGACCGAGAAAAACAAGAAGGAGTACATTGAACGGATGGTGAAGTGGAGGATCGAACGCGGTGTCGTGCAGCAGACTGAAAGCTTGGTCCGAGGCTTTTACGAGGTGTGAGAAAGTTCATTGGAGCCGAAAACCTTTGTGGGCCGGCGTGCAACTAAGTCCCATTTTGCCGTTGTTGCGCCACGGGCAGGTGGTGGACGCACGCTCTGTGTCGGTGTTTGATGCCAGGGAGCTGGAGCTGGTGATGGCCGGAACGGCAGAAATTGACTTGTCCGATTGGAGGAACAACACAGAGTATAGAGGAGGTGGGTGTGGGGAGGAAGGGGGGGGGGGGGTTGTGTGTGTGGGTGTGGGTGTGTGTATGTGTGTAGACATACATACATACATTCATACATACATACACACGCGTACCTACATGTGAAAATGAAACTCCTCAACTCACTTCGAGATAGTTCCTTGGCACCAAGATGACACAAGTACAGACCAGGGGGTAGTAAAGTAGAATAGTACAGAGTTTGCATACCTATCGAGTTAATTGCATTCCTGTGCTTTCTTGGACGGCATTTAGGTTACCATGACAACCACATCGTGATCCGTTGGTTCTGGGCCGCAGTGGAGAGATTCAACAATGAGCAAAGACTTCGACTCCTGCAGGTAAGGAATGAACGTGCTCAGAACTGCTCTGTCGAGTTTGACTTTGATTAAATGACACCTCCGCTTGCTTTTTGACACCTCCGCTTGCTTTTTCTTTGCTCCGGTATTTGAAGTTTGTGACTGGGACGTCAAGTATTCCCTACGAGGGCTTTGCGTCTCTGCGAGGAAGCAATGGACCTCGGCGATTCTGCGTGGAAAAGTGGGGCAAGGCCACGTCTCTGCCCAGGTATGTATGAGTCGCTTTCGGGCAGGAACCTCGTGCGTCCAGATGCACCCCCTCCAGCATGAAAGCGATGGCAGGTCGCGCGGCCCCGTTTTCAGCAAGAGTCCCAGAATGCACTGATGCTGCAAAAATCAGCGATTTTCAGATTTCTCTGTCAAACAAATTTTTGAAGAGATTTTAGCAAGCATCATGAAAGTTGACATGTTTGATTTGCTTTCGCGGGCCACATAAAATGATATGGCGGGCCGGATCTGGCCCCCGGGCCTTGAGTTTGACACTTGTGGGCTGGACGCATTCGAACGAAGTGGTCTGCCAGACGATGTCCCTGCAGTTGAATTAGAAACTAGTCCGGTCGGGTGGGTTGGCGTGGCGCGATTCATCTTGGCTGAACTCCAAATTGAACGAATTTAGGGGCGGGTGTGGCCCGAGTCTCACACTTGTGTGTTCTCTTCAGAGCTCACACTTGTTTCAACCGCCTGGACCTGCCTCCCTACCCGTCGTTCTCTGTGCTGTATGAGAAGATGCAGACCGCCGTGGAGGAAACCAGCACTTTTGGACTGGAGTGAGAAGAATTTTTTTTTCGCCACCCCTCACATGAGGTCGTAACTGAGGATATATTCCAAAGGAACATCAGCTGACGATTCGGCTTTGGACGTAGTGCGTCTTCACTGTGCGTTTTGGGCCGCGGCAGCGCCGTGCAAACAAACGAAGGACGACGAAACACAGCGCCTTGCGGACCACAATCAGGGAGTGTGAGCGGACCTATCGGGCGACCGCGGGACTTTGGAATCCATCTTTTGTACCGGTCGCCGAGGCGATCGGTCGTCGATCGCTGACGGAGGGTCACGGCCTCACGCAACACGGTGTCATATGAAAGTTGTGATTTTAAAATATTTGTAGCTGTTGTGAATCACTTGGCTTCATCAATTCTCTGCTGAATTTCACGATGGGCACGACGCATCCCACGTGTTCGAATGTTTTTCAGTTCTTCAGGGGCGAGTGAAGAATTCACGTTGTTATAATTTGCGGTTGTGATATTTGTTGCCATCAGTATTCGGTCACTGCGATGGCCCATCATCAATTCGTAATTTGGTGTCAATGTAAATGCTGTAAATGTTCTATTTATTTGTTTTAAGTCAGCGGGGCTATGAGAGTAGCGGCGTGCGCAAAAGTCAGCGGGCATTTCATGATTCCGTCTCCTCATCTTTCTACTTTTAGAGGTTGCCACACTAAACTTGACGACACCTCGTCAGTGTTTTTTCCACTTTTTTCCCCCTCAAAAGACTGACTCGGGACACTGTCACGGTTGTTACAAACGTCGTCATTGTTCCCACACAAAAGACACTGCCTTCCCTCTGTCCGTTTGACAAGAACCAACCAAAGTTGCGGGCACAACCTGAACCAAGCCTGTCTTTGTGGACACCGGACCTCACTTTTACATATGAATGTTGGCAGCACTGTCCTCAAATAAAATTCCATCTCTGTCTATGCAAAACTTACTTTGTTGTCTATGCTGTTCAGATGTTGCTATAAAGCGTGCAAACTCCCCTAGGTAAAATCGTTTCTTTTTTAGCATCATTCATTTTGACCACCAGGAACGCTTTTTAACGTAGAAGATTTTGTCATCAAACGATGTGTCAAAACCCACGCGGGAAAATATTGAACCACATGACAAATGCAAAGTACAATTGTTTTGTCTCTTCAGGAGTGTTTTTTGAACCATGTAGCCAGATTTTATGTCAAAGTGTTAAATACAAGACAAAAGCCAAACCACTTGCATATTGGTTTAATATGTCGAATTGTCTCGTTCTCATCTTTGATACGTACTTTACATCACAGTGCACATGATCACAGTTCCACAGAGGTCTCCGCGTGAAGCATTGTCGCGCGTCATCGCTCGCCCACGGGCACGTTTCTTCTTTGGCTCATGATCAGGTGAGGAAACGTTGCCTATTTACTCGTGGTAAAAAGTACACCCGACGCGGAGGTCACTTAGATTGAGCGGGATGCGGCCTTTTCTTCGTTTTTGTGCGCTGCCCCTTTTGTTCAAAGGCCATGTCAAATGAGGTAGGGCACCCCCGTCGTTTCACCACTTCGACAAGTGGCTTGTAAATTGCCGAGTGATTCAAAAGGGTAAAACGTGGAGAGTGATAGGCGGTGACGTGAACCGTCCAATTGGCTGGTAGCGCTGATTTCTATTCACTCGTTCAACTCCCTCTTGAAGTTTTATCTGAAAGTGTTCATTGGGTATATGTTAGCTAGGAAGATGACACGCCGCTTTTCGAATACCAGGTTTCTGTGATATTTAGAAAGAAAAAAAAAAAGAGGACCGCGATAAGGCATTACAAAACTTTTTATCCACCACGAATGCGACCTATATTATAACCCGTACAACTCAAGTGGAGGAAAAAAGGGAAAAAATGGCATTTGAACAGGTGTGTCGACTTGTTCGATCCACTGTGGGCTTCATTCCTAATGGTAAGTAACACAAACAGCATCTCACACCCTTCACAAGCAAGCACTATTTCTTAAGAGTCACAATTGGTACAGTACGTATGGGGGGGGGTATGTAACACACAGGATGTCTTTGTTAATTTACAACTGCCCCTATGTTTCCCTTTTCTGTTCCTTTAACACAGCAGATGAGGCCATTCGGTTGACTTTTAGGAGAAATCCCAGGACGGCTCGGCACAACCCGCCGTGACTGCCGTTGGAGAGTGGCAGGACGGGCTCGGGGGGTACGATGATAAGAGCGCCACCTCGGAGCTACTGAGCGGCACCGCTGGGTACACAAGGCTGAGGAAGGAGTCTCTGGTGTGCCTCTTCACCTGTGCAAGCGCGACATTGTGTCAGGATCCTGCAGGTATCAGCAAATCTTATGGAATCATTTTTAAAGGCAGTTTTTTTTTTCTTATATCAATGGCTGTCGGTGGCTTAAACTGGTTAAATTTACCGCATGGTTAGCGTGATTAGCATCATTAGCGTTTCACACGGTGGACATCGGTGACGGGAACATTACTTATTTTTGTTTGCTTTTTTTTTTTTTTTTTCAAATTAAGAGCTTAAGAGCAAATTTATTGGACCATGAAGCGACTCGTGGATGAGTGCCCGTTTTGTTCATTGTACATTACATTTTAACTATTCCCCAGTCTCCACAAATATAAATATAATCTTAGCCTGACTTGGGAGTCACTTCAGAGTGAAAACCCGGCCAGACGCTCGACTCTTGGCTGTCAAAGGGGTTGTGGTGTGGGAGTGCCCGCGCAAAGCCCTTTGAGAACTGTAGCAACCTAGCTCCATGCTAACTGCTAGCCAGCAGCCAACCAACGGTGTCTTCATTTAGTTCATGCTTCTGGACAATGTGTTAAAAAATACTTTTAATACCATTCAAGGCCTTAACTTTCGCCAAATCGTTTTCATGGCTTTTTAATGACCCGCGGTAAACGTTTCCACTTAAAGACACAGAAAGGAGAAAAGGACTCCAGTTTCTTTTCTCCTCCAGAGTTCCCCCAAACTTCTCCTATAAGACCCAAAGATCGAAGTCGAATAAATCAGATATTGTTTATTGTAATGTAGTGCTTATGTTTGTTAAAAACACATGCGAAGAGGACCTTCAATTGCATATTAAAACTCATTCACTCCCAAGACGTTTTTAAACGTCTTTTGAGACTTGGTCCAGAATTGCCTGGTACTGAATGAGTTAAATTGCCGTCACAATAGAGTAATGAGGAAAAACAATCGCAATTTGATTGATTTTCATTTTGGCCCCTCTCCATACAAAAGAACCCACCTGTTTGAAGAAGGCGTGGCTCATGAGGGCAGAGGCCGTCGGTCTGAAAGGAGCACAAAATCCCGAGGTGAGCTTGAAAGCCGCCGATTCCCACAATTTCATCGAGTGTCAACGGACGAGCAAGACCTGCGCTCGGGCTGCTGCTGCAGACACAGTTGCACCAAATTGTGCAAGGTGGCAGAGTGGTTTTTGGGTCCGGGACTCCGAGGTCCTTCTGTGGCGGGTGGAGGAGCGCCGGTACTGTGAGTCGCGCTCTCTCCCATGCCGGAGTCCACCCCGGACCGGGACACCTTCAGTGCCCCCAGCTCGCCGAGTGGGAAGAGAGCCGTGTCGGTCAGGCAGCGGTGCAAACCGCGCAGCTTCAGGAGCAGAGTCTAAACCCGCCCCACACATTGAGCGAACGTGGTGACTGGCACCCACAAACAACCCAAAACGTCACAAAAGCAGGACTGCGTACGCTACGACGCGCGAGCGTAGCATTAGATTGATCAGTTTCAAAATCTGGTCAAAGTAGGGTCAGGGCTTTCAAGTGCAGGACTCCAGACGAGCCGCTTTCCCTCCGTCCATTACTGTTATTTAGTATTTCAGGCCGACCCACATGGGCCCAGGCCGTACCTCGTCGGTGACAGCCGATCCTAATTTCCACCTCACACACAGGCGCCACACGCAGCTAAATAAAAAAAAATAAACACAACAAACACACATGCACACACACTGAGAGGTGTTTGGTGAAATCAAACCAATGTGGGACACGTGTCATTGAGGCGTGTATCCAACACGGTGTGATTTATGTCTTTGGTTGCGTGTCAGGTGTGCGGCACCTGCGCATGACGTGCTACCAATGAGTCCGTTCTCGACCCCGTTTGGCTGTCACTGATGAACGGACGGACTGGGCCCGCCTGAAATACTGACGGACTCGGCGGACTGACGATGCCCACCTCTGCGAGAGGAGCGCCCTCCACCTGAAAATTCAGTAAGTCCACTTGGAAAGTAATTATTCATACTCTTGGTTGTGGCGTGTCAAATTTAGAAGACATAATTCATTTTCACTTGACGGGGCGGAGGGGACTTAAGAGTGAGAGAGTGTAAGGATTTTTGCCACCTGATTTTACCTGAGTGGGTGCCATGTCCTGGAAGGGCACCCTGCCGCTCACCAGCTCGCAGGCGGCAATACCCAAACTGTAGATATCAGACTTGACTCCATAACCGTGGAGATCCTACCGAGGGACACGGCAAAAAGGTACAAAAACCAAAAAAGAATCGGCGGACGAATCAGCGAAGAACCCCGCCGTGTGGCAAGACAAGAACTGACCTGCTGCAGTAGTTCGGGGCTCAACCAGGGCAGCAGGGCGGGACTGTGGTGGGGCATGTCGAACACCGCCCTCATCCTCTTCCCTTCACGCATCATACTGTAAACGCCGTGCAGTCCCGACAGGTAGACGCGACCTTCTTCTGACAAGAGGATGTGACTGGCCTTCACACCCCTGATGCATCAAAGAGCATTTGGGGGTGACCGTTTGTATGCTCAACCTTTGACCGTTCTTGAACGCCGGTTGACCGCTCACATTAGCTAACTGCTCACTCAAACTTTCAGTATCAACCACAACCTTTTGTGGAAAACACATAAGAAGTTTATCAGCATTTAAAAAAAAAATTGAGTGCCCCCCCCCAAAAAAAGCACTTGAATGGCCATCAATTGCATGTGGATTTTCACCATGCATAGGCTGGCTCGGTTCCCCCTCCCCCCCTCCGAATATCAGGTGTCCGCTCTATAGTTTTATGTTGCAATATCATCTTTAACCACTAGATGGCAAATATTGCTGGTTAGGAAGTGAGTGGTCCTCTGTCACTCCCTAGAAGTGTTGAAGGCTCATTGTTGCCCCGTCCAGCATTTAAGTTGCCCATCCCTGATGTAGTCCGGACACACAAAAACTGGAACCGAGTGGAAACATGGAGGACTACTTATCGTTTAAATACTCACAGCAACAAAAACACGACCTGTCAAGGAAAATGGGTGGAATAGCTTGTCTCGTTTCTATTAATGACAGGAAAATGGATGTAATAGCTTGTCTCGTTTCTATTATGATGTGAAACCCCTCCAAACAAAAAAAATGGACTTTAGGGCTGTCACTCATCAAATTCCCGATCAATGATTCCATTAAATAATGGAATGGATTCTATTCTAAACCTTGCGCGTTGTGGTGCCGACAAAGCCTCAAGGGAAAAAATTGGTGTCAACATTTTTTTGTTGTCGACTCATCGGACTTGGTTGACCCTTCCCCCCTCATGCTACCCACCGCCCCAGCCCTAATTGACCTCACTGTTGGCACCCTAACCCCCCCCTCATGCTCCCCACCGCCCCAGCCCTAATTGACCTCACTGTTGGCTCGGGGACATGTCTTGCGTTTTCAAATATGAAAAAAAAAGCCAACACCTACCTGTGAACGTAGCCCATGCAGTGCAGATAGTCCAACGCTTGCAAGACGCCATACAGGAGGTACGCTATTAAGGACTCGCTCATTCCATCAGGGAAATACGTTCTCATGAGAAAGTGTGCAGAGCCTGCGAGCGGGAGGGAAGGGGTGCACGAGCTCTCACCACAGATGCCTCGGCTGGGAGCTTTTGTGGATGGGTATGAAACTGACCGTAGGCCATGAGCGGCGTAAGGACCCACAGCTGGCAGCAAGAGCTGAAGACCAGTCGGAACGTCAGCAGGTTTGGGTGACGGACCCGCCTGGACAGGAAAACTTCATTCTGGGGCGGGAAACCAGAAGGGGACATCCAACGATAAGAATCCCAAATTTCCTTGCGGAACAACAAATGCCGGCCCTGATCCGAACCCCAAAGTGGACTCGGGCTCACCAGGAGCTGTAGCAGCTCCTCCTCCGTGCACTCATCCAGGTTGGTTTGTTTTATCGCCACCAGTTGCCCAGTTGGAGTGTGACGGGCCATGCGCACCTGGCTCAGGTTGTTGAAACCCCACCCTGTCACACACATGATGGATCCATCACAACCTTGACATCACATGCGTTCAGCTCGTTCACAACATTCTGCCGCTGTGTTAAACAGATTTGATTTTAAAAGCTTAATTTGACGATCGGATCAACATCTTTCTGACTAGTAACAGTCCTAAATGCATTTTGAACCGTTGGAATTTTTCATTCAAGATTCGTTCAGTCAATCAAATTTGATTGAAATGGTGCGATTCATGAATAGAAATGCAACTTAAAGTGCTGTGGAATGAAAACATCCACGATACGACGTAAAAAGAAGACCTGTCCTTTCCCTCCTAACATACAGAGAGAGAGAGAGAGAGAGAGAGAGAGAGAGAGAGAGAATTGTTTGTTTGTTTGTTTGTTCATTTATTTATTAACAGAGACAGAGGTGCAGCGTTCGATTCCGGGTTCCGGCCTCCCTGTGTGGATTTTGCATGTTCACCCCGTGCCTGCGTGGGTTTTTGTCTGGGTATTCCGGCTTCCTCCCACATTCCAAAAGGATACAGGGTAGGTTAAGTGATCACTCCAAAAAAAGTTACGTTTAAGTCTAGAAAGACTGCCAATGTTATGTTAAGTGGAGTTGTTGGCATCTATTGAACGTGACTATAAAGTCACTTTTCTAACGTTGTTGCTTGTCAAATGAAGTTATCGGTGACTCAACTAAGTCACTTTTCAAGTCAAGTATGACTTAAAGTAACTGGCTCAATAAAAGTAAAATAATAATAAAAATAAGTCCATTGCCAGTTCTCTCACCCAGCTCAACGAGGAACTGGTAATGGGCAGGCTCTGCTGACAATGGCGCGATGTTGCCGTCGCCGCATCTCACCGTCGGGTGTGCAGGGGTGCTCCCGGGACCCTGCGGTTCAACGGCACCATTCCGCAGTTGAGATCAAAATGAATGAAAACTGTGAAAAACACTCAAAGGATTGAAGATGGTGTTTCTAACGCGACACAATGTCGTTTTAACTCCCAATTTTTGTGATTTGGGCACAGCCCACAATTTCCCGCATGCATACGCGTCGAGACAAATCAAGAAAGACGGGGCTACTACACCGGTACCGACATGAACCTGCGCTTCGGCGGGTCAGCTGTCTCAATTTGGATTACAGGAATGAAAAGTGAGCGGACGGGGTCAACAAGCCGGAAGGTCCATCATGCGTCTTTCTGTCTGTCCAGTGCTACTGACCGAGCGATGCTGACCGGTGTCCTCGTAGCACTCCTCTATGTCCATGGGCTGGACCTGAGTGTGGGAGATGCAGGAGCAGTCCTGGTGAAGGAGGAGCGGGGGGGAGGCAAGCACAGGTGAGACACCCGCCGACGGGGAAGGGTGAACAAGGGGGCGGAGCCTGGGGAAGAAGGTGCCTGGCATGCAGGGGGGGGGGGGGCTAACCAACGCGGCAATAGTCGCGATTCATGGTATTCGTTTACGTGATGACATTGATCGTATGAATGATTTATCATCATGGAAAGATAAATCATCTCCAGGAAATCCATCGTTGGTCCGACCATGGTGGGTTTTGTCATGGAGAAAATTTGGCAAGCTGAACAGCAATAAGGCTGTCGACATTAGTCTGCAGGCCCCTGAGCCAATCAGGATGCAGACCACAAAAATATAAATAAATAAATCCGTGTTATAGCGAGGGATTACCGTACATGCACAAATTTATATCTCTAAAACTCGGCCAGCGTTCACACTTTCAAGCGATCAGTCCGACAATATTCCCGGGAAATTATCATTTTTGGAACGGGCCACATTGGTTTACGTGATGACATTGATCGTATGAATGATTTATCATCATGGATAGATAAATCATCTCCAGGAAATCCGTCGTTGGTCCGACCATTTGTGGGTTTTGTCATGGAGAAAATTTGGCAAGCTGAACAGCAATGAGGCAGTCGACATTAGTCTACAGTCCCTGAGCCAATCAGGATGCAGACCACAAAAAAATGAATAAATAAATCCGTGTTATAGCGAGGGATTACCGTACATGCACAAATTTATATCTCTAAAACTCGGCCAGCGTTCACACTTTCAAGCGATCAGTCCGACAATATTCCCGGGAAATTATCATTTTTGGAACGGGCCACATTGATGACCTCTGGTTTCGAGAGTAGCTTCACAAGCAGTGAGCAAAAAGATGACTGGATGCAACAATTATTCCACGTGAATATCGTCGTAGAAAAACGCCATTGCTCTCGCAGCCGCATTAAGGACTATTTTTGTGATGTATCGGTACTTGAGTCCAATCTGCATAGAAAAGAACTTACTATCTGATTTCATTTTCCAACAAATGAGTTGCAGATATCAAACTTATGACGTAGAAATCCAGAATACAGTCCTGAATTTCAGAAGATCGATTTGATGAAGACGCAAACACGTGCCCATGCTCCGCAAAAGTCTTACCAAGAAAGACATGGAGTCTTTGAGGCGCCGCTCAAATCACAAGTCGTGGCGTTCATCCACCCGAGAGCTGCAGAAGACAGTTGGAAAGAGAGACACGCTCTTTGTTCGGCAGACGGAATGCATCCAACCTCAACCACTCCAGCTGTCAGGCATCGCTAATTTTGAGTATCTTGACTGCAGAAAAGTATGATCCAAGTGAAAGCCTATTTGCCATTTCGTTCATGACAAAATGAAAGTGGGCAAGTGAGGAATGAAGCAAGAAGCTTCCGATTTTTTTGGAACCGCATTTAAGGTCCAATGTGTTATTGCTAGCATGTTTCTTTTTAAATATGTTAGCTTCTCTCCACTGAAAACATCACGGCATGAAATGTAAAAACACCTGAAGAGATTTTTGAGAAATAAAATGTGTGTTGCTGGTTGCACCGAAACCTTTTTTATCTGTAAGTGTGCTGTGTATTGTTGTTGCTCTTTTTCTGTATTGTGAATGACAACAGAAGTCTCACGTTAACCCACAAAAGTATTCATTTGACTTGACTGAAATTTGCAGTTGTATAAAATGTTTTCATCTTAAAGACTAATCACTTGCACTGTAAGTACGTCTGCCTCACAGTGCTGAGGTGCAGGGTTTGATTCCGGTTCCAGCCTTCCTGTGTGGAATTTGCATGTTCTCCCCGCGCCTGCGTGGATTTTCTCCGGGTACTCCGCTTTGCTCCCACATTCCAAAAACATGCATTGCAAGTTCATGGAACACTCTGAATTGTCCCTAGCTGTGATTGTGACTGTGAATGGCTGTTTGTCTATGTGTGCCTGGTGATTGGCTGGCAACCAGTTCAGGGTGTACCCCGTCAGTAAAATACTGCCTGAAGACAGCTGAGATAGGCGCCAACGCACCCGCGACCATCATGAGGATAAGCAGCTTGGATAATGGATGGATGAATGGATGTCCACAGTAGTATCCAGGTGAAGTATCACAAAGTCACACTGGTTCAGTTTTGAGAAAAACCCAAATTGTAAGAAATAATCACGTATACTCAGCTTCCAGTTTACCTGAATGTACAGTACCAGCTGACCTGGAGGCACCGGCCAAGATGGTCAACTCAGCAGCTTGGTAGACTGCGACATTAGATGCAAATTTACATTGAGGTCTGTATCACTAGGATCAATTCAATTAAATGACATAATACACACAAAGTGATCTTGACAAAAAAATGAACTTTGTTTCGAGTTGATACTAATCAACCACGTTTTGGGACGCGGCATCGTGGCAGTTTTTCTTAACACGCCTGCCTCGATGTATAATTGTTTCTGCTGTAAAAACCGTATCAGTATTTATATCACAGTTTAAATGCCCTTACCTTGATCCACAGCTGTGGGGGTTTTCGATGCATTTACGGAATAAAAGCTGTGCATAAAAATGTGTTTCTGCCAACAGATTTTCAAAGTACATCAGTCATGTCGTGAACAATTTACAGACACGACATTTTCAGTCCAGATGAGGGTATATTGTGCAAGACATTTAATTTAACACAGATGAGTGTCTGTCGCGTAGTGATGACATCATACTGTCCGCCGTCGTAGTTTGTTGTGGCCGTTTCTCTGCTCCGCCCCCAATTCCTCTCTTGGCGTTTGTCGACTTTTGAGAGAGAGACCTTCTTGGCAATCCTCAGGCACGTTTCACCGGAATTCCTCATGTTGTGGATTAATATTGATAAAGGGTAAGGCCGCTTTTAAACAATATTTAATCATTTGAGATGCTCGTTCTTCGAGCGTAAGTTGATATTTGCATGTGATAAATCGATGCTGTCATCCTCGCCTATTCGAGCTAAATTATACTCTGAGGATTTCTCTTACATAAAAACGAGAATTGCATGCATTTGATGGGGGATTAACATCTTAGTATACAAGTTAAATAGTATATCTGCACAGGGAAAGCGTAATAACGATTTCGTCATTCGTCAATAGGTTAGCGATGACAGTGGCTAACGAAGAGCTAGCATCATTGCGTTTTTTTCTTTGGCATTCATGGTACTCTACTCGGTTATGTGCACTGCATTCCTCATCTAAAGGAATTTTCATGATTTCCGAGATCACTTCAAAATGCGTTTCGTGAGTTCCGCCTCTTACGCAAATTTAGCATTGATGAATCGTGGCTACTTCCTCAACCCCAAAGAGAACTTCCAGCCCAAGGAGAAATGTTGGTTTTGATTACAGCCCAAATTGGAATCAACGTGGAAATCAAATGAAAATGGCTCCAGTTAAGCAAATGTCTGTATGAATATGACTCATCGAATGACTCCCACACTCAAAACACTCGCTCAATCTCAACACTGTCGAAAAATTGAAATTGCTCAAACGAACCTTTAGTTGTATTTATTATTAATAAGCCCTTTGGAAAATGGCTGAATTGGTTAATAAATGGTATAGGTTTGAAACCGCTATCTCTGCAAGTGTTTCTATTTTCAAATGACCATTTCTACAGGATTTATAGGAAATCACAATGTCCCATCACTGGCGTGCTATTTTTAGAACAGACGTGAACTTGGTGGCGGCCTGGTGCCCATGGGCAATATGTTGATGACCCCTGGTCAACAGTATGTTCCAACACAAATGTGCAATGAGGTTTGTTGTGCCGTGCAACTATTCATTAGTCAATCAAATTGCCAGATGCTATTATTGATGGGTCACAACTGTATACAGTAGTCGTGCGCAACATGGCTGCAGTATTTCGCCTGTCACATCAATCTGCCCAACACTTTCGGGCACGCTTCTCTTATGTAAGCAGAGGCTGAGCTTTTTCCAAGGATTTACTATCTCTCTCTCTCTCTCTCTCTCTCTCTCTCTCACACACACACACACACACGTGTTTGTGTGCTTGTGAGCATGCGTGTACACGCCTGGCCACAAGGTCAACAACACTGGCAGTTGTTTTGCTTGAAGGCTAGCATCAATTCGTGCCACTTTTATTCTTCAGGGAGAGCATCAAGTATCATCACTTCAGTTGTCCTGTCACACTGCATAATTCACTGTTGAATGAAAGAAAGCTTTTCTTTTCTTCTTTCACATCTCTTCCTGCAGGTAATGGTGTGAGGCTGCCATCCACCACTGTGAGCCCAGGATATGTGACCCCTACGCCACACTTCTCCTCCTAACATGTTTGAAGTCAAACCGCGAGCCGTGGAGAAGAAGGAGTCCAGCACAGAGACGGGTGCGTGTGTGGTACAATTTAATCTCACCATCATTGGGCGTTGCAAGACAGTGTCATAAGAAAGAAAAAGCAGGAGAGTGTTACTCTTGCTGACATCATCATGGCTTGTGCCGCACAGATGAGGGCCTGGGGAGCAGCAGCAGGCACTACGGCTCCGGCTCAGTGGGTTCTGCTTCGGTGGAATCGGGCTCGTTCTACTTGTCAGACAGCCAGGATTGGGTGGTTTCCCCAAGCTGCTCCCCCGATGAAGGTCCTGCCCAGCGCACCGCTATCTCCCCCATGCTGGCAGAGGAGACTTTCCGCTACATGGGTAAGCGTGTTTGCGGTTCAAAAATCATTTCATCCATCCACCCGTTATCTCTGTGAGAGTGCAATGAATATTCATTTTAAAAAAAAAAAACAGCACTTGTTAAAAATTAAATGGATAGTACAGTGGTGCCTTGACTAAATTTTGCTGTCCTTCAATCCACTTTGTCTCACACTTAAAACATATTCCTTGAGAAAATACGGATATAAAATATATACATACAATTATCCGAGACAGTGAAATGTAACCCTGGCAGGCAGATGCAGCTAAAAATAAATCCTGACTGATACCTTAAACACTATATCAGGGAAATGTGTGTGTGTGTGTGTGTGTGTGTGTGTGTGTGTGTGTGTGTGTGTGTGTGTGTGTGTGCGCGCGTGCGTGCGCTTGTGTGTGTCCACTGGACACGTGAGGGCTCTCCTTTTTTACTCGATCTACATCCTCTTTAATTCCAGTCACGGGGGATTACAGTGGCTCTGACACTGCATATGGTCATCACATGTTGGCCTTGACATGATCCCCTTTTACGTTGTAAAGCTGTTATTCTTTCTCAGCCCTTGTTTTTTTTTTTTTTGTTTTTTTTTACTTGCACGGAATGGGGAGACAAAGTCATCCCGCTGAGGTCCCGCCTTGGGTGACGGTATCGGGACAAAGCCCGTTGTCTGCCTGCAGGAGACAGATCGAGGCAAAGTGGGGTGGGGGGGAGGCCTCCAGTGACTCCATTTGCATCTCCAAGGGAGTCATGGGATTTGGTTGTCATGTGTGTGGAGTTGATTCGATCATAGTCAGAGCCCTTAAAAAAAAAAAACAGGAAATGCCTGTCTGTGTGAATGCTTATTTTCCCAGTCACAGACCCGTACATCCAAAGAAGATGCACGACAAGTAGGCGTGACTTCCTCCCTTTACAATGTCACATTTTTCCCTGTTGATGTCCTCCTTAAATTACTTAATCTGCATAGTTTCACAAAACCCGCAGGTTAGATTAGTCTACAAATGATCTTCTTTCTGCCTCCTTCAAGACCCCCCACCCACCCCCCCCCAAGAAATAGCGAGCTCTCTTTATTGACAATATCGTTTGGATCTGAGCTGCACATTAAGGTCATGGTCAAATAACCGAAGCAAAATCTCTACGTCAAAGCTTTGCAAAGCTAGTTTTTCCACCTAGATTAATGTTACCGCAGTGGCCACTCTGTAGGAATAAACTCATTCAAACATGCGCCTCCGACAGTCACAGCTCACTCACATTCATCCTTGGATAGGCACATCATTCACCAGGCCAAGCCCCGCCTTTTAAAGCCATACACACTCAAAGTCACGGCTACTACAGCAGAACATGAGTATGGCGACCCCATGTGTGCAAAAATAATAGCCACACTGCACATGTGTATGTTGTTATTTAATCAAAAAAAAAAACCCTCACATTTTAACCAATTAATCAATTGGATAATAAGATAAGAAGACCTTTATTTGTCTCACAATGGACAAATTCCCAATTTACAGCAACAAAATTATGAAAGGGAGAAAGTAGAAGACACAAAGTATTTAAATAAATATAAAATATAAATCTAAGCATATTAAAAACGGATGAGTGGGGGTGAGTCCAGGTTTTCAGGACCTTCTGCTCAATAGCTTGATCTGAAGAATACTTGAGTCCACAAATTTTTGATGGCGGCAGCCCAAATAACGTGTCCATACTCGGCATGACCGCCCAGCCCCTCATTAGTGCTGAAATTTTATTGACGTGTAAGAATGATGAACGATTGCATAAATAGCGATTGGAAGACGGTCTAGTTCCAGTCAGACTGTGCAGAAGCACGGAACCAAATGCATTCTAAATGTTGAACTATCTTCTGCTTAGGTTCAACTATCATAACATGCAATGGTCTCCTGAATATTTTTAGTTCCTAGGGAAAGTTCTTGCAGTTGAAATGGAATATGATCAAACCCAGAGAAGAACACAAATGGGCAGAAAAAAAAAACAATTCACCTCAATCGAACAAGAAGATTATCACTGTGATCACGACACCCAAGTTACTGAAGTCAAAGCAGTCGGTTCCGACGAGAATAAGGAATGTCGTCATGTGTGACAAAGATGGAACCCAGTTATTTTTGCACCGAGCCTGGTGGCACTTCAGTCGCAATGTTTACATCCGGAGGTCAGGATTGGCCTCGGATGACAACGCCATCTGCTTCGCTTGAAAAATGACTCGTTGTACTGCGGAGATTCTCCGAACAAATGTGAAGCTCATACGTTCAATAAGCTGGTCCATTTGCTCTCCTGGCGGACTGATTAGAGCGGCATTTTCTCTTCTTATCTCTCACTAGCCTCCCTCTCTTTGGACCACCCCTCTCATACCTACTCTGCTTCCCACAACCTGTCCAAAGGTATCTTTCTTGACCTATCTGCTTCGCGTTAGCAGTGTGGCTTCCACATTTGCATTTCTAGTTGGTTCACAAGTAGTCCAATCAATCTGCTGCCGTTGAAGTAGTTCCGCGTAACGTGTCACAAGATGACCACGAGCAACTACTCTACAGGCACGCGGCAATCTTTTAGAGGCAATCCTGCTATGCGTGGCTGTGGGAAGCAATTTCCTTCCCTGCTCATGAGGAAAATGATCACTTAATTGATTATTGACTGTATAAATACGATATTGGCTGGTTAAAATATTCTTGCATCCAGCAGTGTTCCCCAACCACTGGGCCATTTGGTGCCAGGCTGCATAGAACGATTGATTTTTTTGTTGTTGCTGTATTTTTTTGGGGAGGGGGGGCGGCGTAAATGTCGTCCGTTTTTTTGGTGCTCGGTATTGGTGAGCACTCACACTTGAGCCCTTGGTCTGATGGACGTTGCATTGGTGCCCCTCCCTAATTAATGGTAAATGATTTCTAGCTGCAATTTGCTGTCAAATGATTTTTTTTGGGCGTCAAGTCATTTATTCCGACCTTAGCTTGAACTCCTGTATATCTTTTGCTGTCACTCCACTGCAAGAATTGTCGTAACACTGCATCACTCTTGGAACAGGCGCGCGCGCACACAACAACACACGACTCTGAACGATTCTATGACACTCATTCACATTTGAAACAGGAATACAAATTTTTTTTGGGGGGGGGGGGTATTGTTATCCCCGTTTGTCAGTAACCTAAAACGTTTCATCCCTAGTTTAACTGTAGAAAATGATTTGTTTTTTTTTACCATGAGAACTGGAGACTACTTGTCAGTATTCAAAGCATTTTTTTATCGAAAACAACTCCCTGAGCTTCCTTCGGCTGCGCTTAATACATTGGCTAGACACTACGTATTATCCAAGATTTGACCAAATATACTGTATGAAGATTGAAAATGTGATTTGAAAAAAAAAAAAATCACACCTAGCTAATTCATGTTGCTTGTGGTCAAAAAAAACTTCAAAGCTGACATGTTACACAAAATTTGTCTGTTCAATCTTTTGGGATTTCCTGAATGCTTCCATTTTGCATGCACGAGCTGCATGACTTGCGTCTGTGCCATTTGCTTGTACGTTCCTCTAAATGATCTTAACGTATTGTCAGTCCTCAGTTCCGATCGTGTGGAGCAGATGACCAAGACGTACAATGACATCGAAGTGGTCACACACCTTCTGGCTGAGGTTGGTATCGTGCCGCGCGCCGTCGTTTTGGTTTCTCACTCGTGCCCGCATCAGATCATTTCCCTTGAGCCCGCGTCTCTTGTCGTCAGCGTGATAGAGACCTGGAGCTGGCGGCTCGGATCGGACAGTCGCTTCTGCAGAGGAACCACCTGCTGCAAGAGCGCAACGAGGCTGTGGAGGAGCAGTTGGCGCAGACTCTGGACCAGGTAGCTTCAAATGCTTCATCAAATACAGTCCAGATTTCATTCCTGTCATTTTGATTTCTTCGTATTTCAAAACAACTATCTCACTAGTGACTCACTGTTAAGTCACTCACTGAACAATTAATATACACGGGACACATCACAATAAATTATAGTTTTGTCAAAGGACCTGATTTATATCAGGAACAAAAAAAAATCAATCAAAATGACATTGGATATAAAAAGTCTACAAACCACAGTTCAGATGCCGTAAAAAAAAGCATTTCTGTGTCATACTCACTATGGGAGGAGGAGAAAAGACAAAGAAGCCATGCGAAATGCGAAGCGAACCGAAGAATGACACGGCTAGCACGTTTAACACCGCACTTACTGTATGATTGACAGCACTTTTCACAGACGTCGGGCTGAAACCGCGTTAAAGCGGAGAACATCTAAATTTGAACAACAAACTAAACGAAACAGTGGTGGGTGCATCAGTCTATCTTAAGCGTTCCGTCATCATTTCAGGCCGGCCTGCGTGGACCCAGTCCGTCCGTCATTGGCAACTGCCAATCGGCCTTGAAAATGCACTTGATAAGTTAAACATAGGTGCAGCACAAGCACACATGAAGAAAAAAAAAGATGCGCACACACACACACACACACACACACACACACACACACACACACACACACACACACACA